GTGTGTCTGTCTATGCTCGCTTGTGTGTGGTCGAGGGCGCTGACCACCCTGTAGGGGAAACACTGCATTAGTTCAGCACCGCTCCCCCCACACCAGAGACTGAGACCAGAGAGAGACAGAGACCATAGAGAGACATACCAGAGAGAGGCAGAGACCTGAGAGACCTAGAGACCAGAGAGAGGCAAGGACCAGAGAGAGGCAGGGACCAGAGAGAGACAGAGACCAGAGAAAGACAGAGACCAGAGAGAGCCAGAGGCAGGGACCAGAGGAGCAGCTTTGGTCAGCACCACAATCATCTGACACATTTATTTGCACAATTTGACTGAAAATCAAATTCATTTTCCTCTGCCACAAAGTAGGTTAAATAGAAAAGTGCAGAGCAGAGGTGGAATGAGAACTAGGACTTCATTTCCCAAATGGAATTTGGAATCAATTTTACTTTTTTCCCCCTCTGTCTATCTATCTATAGTCGTTAACTATTTCCTTCTTGAAGGGAGATTGACCACAGGAAGAAGTGATCATGTCATTTCATGTGTTCACTCTCACTCTCATGCTTCTCTATCTTGCATCCTCCACTGTCTCTTCACATCATTGACATTTTGTTTTCCTGAAAAAATAGATTTCATGATGGGACAGACGCTAAACAAACATGCATGTGAAAGCCGGTGACAAGGAGGAAACCTACATAGGCACAAGGAGAACATGCAAACTCCACACAGAAAAAAGCCTGCCCAGAGGTAACATATTTATTTGGGAAATATGTGAGAATTGTGTATTAGGTAATTACTTTGTATTGCTGCATTTTAGAAACTTGTGACGCCACCTGCATGTGATCCCAGCCGACCTTAGAAGCTAAGCAGGGCAGGGCGTGGCTAGTTCTGTGATGGGAGACCTAGGGGCAGACCAGGCGACACATTGAAACGGCTGCGGCTGTAAAGTGCCAAACTGTTATTGTGTCCGTAGGCAAGACACTTCACCCACCTAGAATGAGTCTGGTGTGTGTGTGAATGGTTGGTGGTGGTCAGAGGCACATACTGGTTGCCTCGCTTCTGTCAGTGTGCCCCAGGGCAGCTGTGGCTACAGTAGTAGTTTATCACCAGCGTGTATGACGTGGAAGAAAATAGTGTCCAAAAGGCGCAATATAAAACCAAAGTTTAAGTTAAAAAAATAAAAATCCCATAATCTTGCTGCTCAAATTCAAAATGTATTAGTACTTTTGCAAACCACTGCACAACCTAGAATCGCACCAATAAACTTTCTGGTTGCACGGCAAAACCAACGGCCATACACTCGTTTAAAATAGCCGCATTGTTCCTGGTATCTAGTTCATGCCAAACAGAAAGCACTATACTATACATGTCGGCACTCTGCATATCAGATCTACTGACAAAGCCACACCAAGACTGTAAAGCCCAAATATGAGTCATCTCGCATGCACACGGAGCCAAAAGGTAGAGCGCACAAAAGTCCCTGTTACAATACCGCGTGGCATTGTTCGCCGGAGTGAATGTAATTTCGCACATCTCCCTGGCATCGTCCTCTGGCAGCCTCCGCGCTCGCCTTTTTTGTATTTTTATTGTGGATTGTTGTTTACCAGCTTGAATGTGTTCATATCTGCTCCTCTCTTTCCTCAAAAACACCTACTCATTTGAGCTGTGATTCATTGCGGGCTAATTCATATTCCCCCACGGATTAGAGAGAGACACATCTAATTTGGTGATAGTTCTCTCTCTCGCACACTTTGGATGGAGCGTTCAAACAATCTTCCCCTTCCCCCCTTCGCCACTTGCACAAAAACACAGAGAAACAATCAAGAGCTGTGTGGAGAGCCAATATCTTCACTCAGAGGGAAAGCGGAGGTCATGTTGGATTTGGAATGGGCGGTGGCGGAGGGGACTCGGCAGGGACATGACAAAAGTGTGATGGTTGAAGAAATGAGAGATATTTGGATTGTTTGAAGTGGGGTTGGCGTCATGTTTGTGGAGGAATATGGTGAGCATCTGAAGATCGAAAACTGTAAAGTGCGGCAAAAAAAGTATTTAGTCAGCCACCAATTGTGCAAGTCCTCCCACTTATAAATATGAGAGATGCCTGTCGTTTTCATCATGGGTAAACCTCAACTATAAGAGACAAAATGCGAAACGAAATCCAGAATAATCTAATTTTTTAAGAATTTATTTGCAATTGATTAATTTGCAAGTATTTATTACCCTGCTGCTAAAATCCCGGTCGGAACAGGGTCTTTCTGAGTAGAGTTTGCATTTTTCTCCGTGCCTGCGGCGGTTTCCTCCGGGTACTCCGGTTTCCCCTATCACTAAAAACATGCTCATTAGGTTAAATCCTCCAGCTCCGGTCCTGACCAAGCCGAGCATCAACATCTGGAGATGGGTTCCCGGGAGCTGTTACTACGGCGACCACTGCTTCTGACGTAAGCCTTCGCGGCATCAGGATGGGTCAAATGCAGAGGATTGAATTGCCATACGGGGGTTAATAAAGTGCACCTTTACCTTTAAAAGCAAAGATTTTAGACTTGCCCCCTTATTACGCTGAAGCTAGAGATTTTATATTTGCTTCTTTTTGTGCTGAAGTTAGAGACTTTATTTCTTTTAGTTTAGAGTCATTGTTTTTGTGCTGTGTGCTCCTCATTCCTGTTGTTCTGTAACTGGTAATGCAACACTGACATTTCTCTCTCTTAATCTTAACAAAGTGTTAAGATTAAGTGTGTGAAAACCTTGTGAAGACAGACACGTTTGACCTGTAATAACCAACAAAGTGAAAAGGACAAAGTATTGAGAGGAACTTTTGTCTAGAGAGAAAAGTGAGAAAGAGAGAGGTCCATCTACTCGATCAGCTCAAACTAAATGTATTCTTCTTCCTCTGGCAACAGGGATTGATGTGTATCACTCTGTAACGAAAACATATTGGGGCTGGGACCATGTAATATTTTGTAGTGTATCTGCGAGACAGAACTGCATCAGTACAACCTCAGTATTTACATTCAGAGGCGGGGGATGTGTTACTGTTAGAGCAGGTTTGTGCTGATCAGTTATAGCTAAATCAAACCAGAGCTATGAAAAGCAGTCACTATTTATTATTAGAAATGTTCTTTCCCCAATTTAATGTGGGGGCCTCACAGCAGGAAGGTAATGAAGTTTGCATGTTGTTCTTGTTTCTGGGTGAGTTTCCTCTGGATGCTCCGGTTTTACCCATCGCCCAAAAGATTTACCATTAGTAAAATCCTCCAGAAAATTTCCCAATCAAGAGCATGAACACCTGTAGACGGGTCAAATATTGAATAATATTCATTGGCATGTTTGCATGAATATATAGCTGCATGATTAGACAATTAGACCCTGCAGACCCTTATGAGGCTCTAATATATTGATTGCTTTTGAACATGAAATGGTTCATTAGGGTTTGGCGATTGAATCCCGGCAGAAATACTGCATGACATATGCAGGAAAGAATTTAATCGAGATTATGAGCTTTCAATCCCCCTGGTCAAAACTCTAATGGTGAAGAAAGCTGAGCCGATCACACTCCACTGAAGAGGAGGGAGGGGAGGAGGCGGGTTGTTGCACAAGCAGCAACCTGCTGCTGCAGGACTGAGTAGTGTTGAAACGCAGCTGCGATGCTGATGATCACAGGTATGTAGCAGAGGGAGGACTCATTGTGGCAGGGGAGAGAGCACTGAGAACCATGTCTCTCAGGCTCGAAAGGTCCGCTTTAGCTGCAAAGTTCTCATGTCCCGGATCATCTTCTGCTTCAACACGACAAACTCAATAACCTGTATCTCTGGAGCGCTCAGCCACTCTGCAGTGGAAACTTATTTCAACCTGTTCAATCCACAATCTTGTCCTTCAGGTCTTTCGCCAAAGCTCATTGTCAAATGTGATCAAGATCAATTTTCTGTTTGTACAAAACAAAACAAAATGATCATTTACAGCTTTAGTGTCATACATTTGAAATTAGGTTCAGTTGTTAGTTTCTTACACTGCTGTAACTTCCTCTGTGAGGCGATGACACACTGTTATGAGCAGGTCTTCGTACCGACATGTTTGCGAGGCAGCGGACAGTGATGGATGGCTGTGTCATGAAGACTCCGTCGAGAGCCTTCTAAATGAAAGCCTCCATGACGCTGCTGCTCACCTCTCCACCCTCACCCCCCAAGAACAACTTTTTCCCTCTTGAACTCATTCTACAGAAACTAATTAAACCTTTGCGGTGTGCCGCCAGCCTGCTCTGCCCTCACAAAGGAAAAGTAGAAAGACATGGGGGGTTTTTAGAAATTACCAACATTGTGTGCCAAATGACCGTCGGAAGCACAACAACTTTAGTGAGTGGTGGTAATAAAGTGTTCAGAGAAGTGAGGTGCTCCAGAGCAGTGCTGAGGTCTCACAGCTGGTTCTTTCATTCTCTGAGTGATGTGACACCCCAGGACACAGGTTCAGCCCTGGGCCTAATAATGGACTTGGCAACGAGTCCACACCTTCCACAGACTCAGCACTTTATGTGGAAATTTAGAAAAAATAGAATAATAATAACAAATATGATGTAAAAAGCAACATGGAAAAAAACGATCTACGAGAATGAAGGAACAGTGTCACAATCACCTTCATGGTTTATTCTAAAACTATTCTAAACTATTAGCACTACAAAAATCAACATTATTTTGATGATTGACAAAGTAATGCACACAATGTTTTATCCATTACAAGTTTGTAGATGTTTCTGAAGGAGAAATGAAGGATATTTGGGTCAGAGCCTTTGCTCTTGCTCCGAGCCCCTGCTCACATCTCTGTGGAAGTGTGTAGTGTCTCTTTAGCAGACTTCAAGGTGCTATTAGGGGTCATCTTGTTGCTGTTCCGGAACACAATGCTGATGTAGCGTTTGGGTGTGGTCCCACATGTCTTCATGTGTGTCGGAGTAAGCTCCTGTCTTTGAACTATGATGTTGTGTCAGACAGCCACAGCAGATATTTGCCCAGCAAATATTTTAATCCTCAACTAATCACTTGGTTGAGTTCAGTGGAGGCGAGGGGGGTGAGGGGCCGAGGGGCAGAGGGGGCTGCTTACTGCTGCTGCGGCGCTGGTGGCCGGAGCACTATTTTCCAAAAGGGATTGTGGGAAGTGTCCAGCAGTGCGACCTCTGCAGCGAGCTGGAGCGTGGAGTCTCAGGTAGAGCGTGTGTAATTGATGAGGCTCTGAGTTGAATGGTGGCTGATGTGAGTTTCATCAGAGTGAATATAGAGGACATGCAGCTCTTTCATCTGTGCCATAAAGCTCTACAGAATCGCCCTCACTGTGAATTACGTTTCCTTTGAGTCAAAACGCTGCGCATGCAGGGCTCGCGCCACAGAATCCCTGCACTAAACGCACCCCAACACAAGTGTGCCACCACATCCGCTTGGACACTCCTGGCATTTGCTTATTATCAGAATATTCTTAATCATAGTGAGACACTGCCAGCGAGAGAGCGGGCCGCCAGAGAGGCACGTCAAAACATCTTCAACCGTAAAGGAGCAGACAGCCAGCGTGATGGGCAAATTAGTCAGAGGCAGTGCCTAAATGGATGTGAGGGCACAGAGGGAGAGATAGTGTGTGTGCAAATGAGCATGCTGCACAAAACGCTCTGAAAGAGAGCAACCTTCTCCGTTTCTCCATAGAGAAGTGCCTCCGATTCCCTCAGCACTCCGCCAGATCACCAGCCACTAACTGATGGAGAAATAAATGAAGGGAAGGCTGTTCAAATAGATATGATTCTGAGGCAGATTTAAAGAGTGGAACTGATTGTGCATGTCTGATGTGTGTGCTGCACAGTCCTCACCCGCGGGGCTTGGCTTTCAAAGCCGAGTGACTTCACCCAGAAACACTCCATTAACAAAGTTCAGCTCTCCTCTCAGACACCCACAGAAGAACCCCACAGAACCCACAGAACCCATGCCCCACCCTCAGAGCACTGCTTTAATAAACACGCTGAATTATCAGCATTTACGCTCCCAGAGCTCTTGAGCGCTTGGTAAACACACATGTGTTTAAAAATAATCGCAGTTAGCTTTGGTGATGTTGGGTTACATTACACATCATGTGATATTATTGCATAACTCTTGGCTCTCCTTGATTCTGCTGTTTATATTGTGAGCACAAGAAACACACATTGTCTTAAGAGCTAGAACGATATCATTGAACTCTGATAGAATAAAGGGTTTCCAATCATTAATATTTTTCTGAAATAAAGTGATTTCAAAATGTTATTGTTCACCTAGAGACTAATTGACTTCCATAGAAAACTATGATTTTGTTGTCTGAAGTCTGACTGGTGAGACTGTGTCATGAGCTACGTGTGTTAGTATTGGACAGTACGTTTCAAATAGTCTCTCTATAGTTTGATAGTTGATCCTAAAGGGTTAAAACTGTGCTGATGGACAGAGGGCCATTGAGTTAGCGAAGGCAGTGGTCCTGGGATTAGAGTCACGAGAGCGTTACCCTGCTTCTAAACCTCCACAGCACAGGGACAGGTGCACCAGGGTCTAACCAGGCACAGGCTTACACTCCATAGCGCCCTCTATATCACCACATCACAAAAAGCAGCAAGGGAGGCTTCAGTAATGGAGTCTCAATTCCACTTTTTTGAAATCATCTGATACGACCTGCTGCTAAATCCTTGTGTTATTCCATTTGAATGAGTTGCAACTTTATCACAGGGCTCATATGTGTGACTGCCAGAACCATTTAACATGTCAATATGGCGAATGGGAACACTTCTTCTTTGCGAGACGAGGCTAGGTGAATATCCGGACTAGACGTGCAGGTATGGTGTCTGCAGATAAGTGACCATGCAGGTTTTTTCCCTTTTTTTTGCCCCTATTTGAAGAAAACCAGTGCTAGAGATATGGAAGGTAGGTAGCAATTACTAAGAGTAGTGGAGCCAGGAGCATAGGAGAGAAGCAGAGAAGGGAGGGGAGATAGGAGGGGACGTGGGGGCTGGGGAGGGGGGTACTTGGTGAGATCTTGGGGGCCCCTGCTGACTGGTGCATGGGTAGATCACAGGCTCATCATGTCAGCTCTGTTTGCGGAAATCCTCGCTCATCAAACCACAAATTTGCTACACATTTACCTTTATCAGATGAGAGAGGAGAGTGCGCGAGTGTGCGTGCGCCAGAACCGTCACGGGGCCAATTACCCGCTCCTCTGAGGCCGACGACTCTGCCATCTCAAGCCCTTTTTCCCCATCGCAGTGGAAACATCTGTGTCTGAATATGCAATGAGAGAATGTGACAGCCAGTGCGCGGCTACAGGGCTAATATTTGCCAACATGGGAGCTGTCTGTTGTAACTATAGGAGAGGGGGGGGTGTAGCCAGGGACCATCCACTTCCTCTGCGATTTCTTCTTAATCATGACTTCATTAACGGCACTGATGAGAGTAGAAGGTCTTAAATAAACGGAGGTGTTGATCGAGTGTGCCACGTCAGACAGGCAACTTTATGGATTAGTGGTAATGAGGCTGTTGGACTCAGGCCCCGGAGGCTGATCAGAATGGACACGAGGAAGTGACTGCAGCGACTTCTGATTGGTCTTAAGACAGAATTATTATGTGAAATTTACTATTTCTGAGTATTTAACGCTCTGATGTTCACTCCTTGAAGAAAGCAATGTAAATCTGTCTTCTTTTTTCTTTTCTGTTGGAGCACTAATGCAGGACTCAAAACAAAGTGTAATTTCATAAAATAAATCCAAGGTAACGACAAGACACAAAACTTCAAAACGGAAAACAAGCCAGGAACAAATGTGGTACAGACAATGGACTGAGCATTTGTCGTGGGGAAATAATCACCAGGACAGACAGGAAGCAAACTAAAACTATACAAGAGAACAAATATATTGAAAATTAAAACCAAATTTCAACCCCATTGTTTTTTTTTTATTCTAGGCTACTAAGTGGTTGCAGTTTGATGGTAAAAGTGCCTTACTCGCCTGTCTCCAGTGAAGAGGACAAAGAGGTCATAGAAAACTTCCGATAAAATAAACTTGTGTGTCCCTTAAAGGCCTTAAAGCTGAGGTACCTAATTTTCAAACCACGTAAGACACTGTAGAACCTAAACATTTTGCTTCTACAGTTTTCACATATTTTTTGCCGCTGTTACATCTCTGGCATCTTCAGATCAGCTTTTTCAGACATAAAAGTGAAAAAGAGAGGACCACCATCATACAGCCCTCAGCCCAAAGGATCAAATAGTGACTCTGAGGGCTCTGTCTTACAATTATGCACAAGTTTACAGGAAAGAGTAAGAACGCATGTTATGGTCTGATTTGTTCGTTTTGCTTTTACTGTACAAGACTTTGTTCTCTTTGGGTCCAACAACACATAGTATTTCTGTACCCACATTTAGATAGATTAGATACACTACTGTTCCCTGTAGGAGAAATTCATGTGTCCAGCAGCAGAAACACATCCATGCAAAAAAAATAATTCATTCAAAACATTCTAAACGTATATAACAATAGTAAGAAAGTGCAAACAGCAGCAGAGGTGGTGGAGCCGCTGGGTGGAGCAGGACAGGTCATAGGTCACAAGTCACAGGTCAATTTATTGTGATTTTTTGTGTTCAACAAGTTAAATAATCCAGGCCACATACACATTTAGAGTAATAAACTGAAATATACCCATTATAGGCTCATTTTTACATTAAACCCACAGCAGAAAAGTTGCTCTTGTGCCTTTCCATGACATTTCTCACCGCCCAACTCATTAGATGCTCTTTTTCCCACCCCACGCCCCCCTCCTCTCTGCAGCAGTTGCACCTACACTTGACCCGCGCTCTGCCTTTGTAGACCGTGTCAGGCTCGCCTCTTGATACAACTCCAGTGATGCAGATAATGGAGCAGAGATAGAGCGCGGAGAATCAACCAAGGGAAGTGCAGAGAGAAGAGAGAGAGAATTAGCATAATGTCCTCCACCACAGAGTCCCCCAGGCTATAGCCGCACGCCGGATGGGATAACACACCACCAATACTCTTAATTCAATCTCTTTATTTTTCTAATACGAATTAATAACGACTCCTGTCTCCCCCACACCCGCCCGCACGTACCACCGAGAGCTGCCTATATAACTTTGTGACTTTAACCCAGGAAATTGATGTGAGCGCGCCTGGAGGCAGACCTGCTAATGAATGGTAGGCCCAGAAATAAGAAAGTTAAAGAGATGGTCCTTTATAAAGTAATTTAAGAAAATCCTGTTAGCTGGATCAAGTACAAGAGTATAATTTCTCCAAACGGGGAGACTCACTTAATAACAAGGAGGTGGAGAGATAAAAAAAAAAGAAGGCAGAATCAATTAGGACGGGCCTGTAAACAGAGGGAGGGGACGTGTGTGGAAGTCCTCCGGGGGACAGGGCCACATCAGGCCCGCGGGAGGCCCAGGCAGGTGGGACTGAAGCTGCTGTAAGCCAGAGTGTGTTGTAGGCTTTTTAATGGGATGACAAACTTAGCCATGTTGGAGCTGAGGCGTCCACTATTGAAGGAGGGATGAGTCAGTGAGGAAATGAATGAATGGATAGAGAAGTGCAGGTGGTACTCAGCATGAACACATGATTGTCTGAATACTCTTAAAGGCTATATGTCGTTTTTACTACTGATCAAAGATTCTACCAGGTCTTAGCTGGTATAAAATTTATCCTAAAAATGCTCATAAAGGAGAATTTGTGCAATAGTTTCCATACCCTTTGGGCCTTTTGTGTTAAATAAGTTGTTTGTTAACCCTTTAATGTGCACTCCTTGAAGAACGCAATGTAATTTTTCTTCTTTTTGGGGTTTCTAAGATGTAGGAGCACTATCACAAATCATTTCTTTTGATGTTTTTTTTGTTTGGGAACCCCTAGTTTTTTGTTGTTTTTTTATTTTATTATAGGCCTTCAACAAATGGTTGGGATGCAGTTTGATGGTTAAAGTGCCCCAAAGAGATTTTCAGTTCCAAATGCAAAGTATGAAGTGACTCTAAAAGTAATCCACCAAAATGTTGAGGAAACCATTAAAAGGGATTTTATTCATAATACATAATGATCAATCTTTTTGTGGGAAACAAACTAGGAGTATAAATATTCACTTAAAAGTTAATTTATTAATGATGTATATGTTTTTTACAAGTTTTACAATAATCATTTATTTCAAATCCAACGTGTAGTATTTATATTCACATTTTATTTGCCATTTGCAGTAAAACCACATTGGAATACATGTGCAAAAGTATACCCCAGTGTGCACCAGGCAAATATAAAAAATAATCCAAACTATAATTGTTATTTTATTGTGATTAACAAAACACAGGTCACACATAGGCCAATGGTCAAAGTAACGTGTATCTTTACAGCACATAATTATTAGTTCATTGGGCACATAATTAAATGAAATAAACTCCATAAGACTCAGGCTCGCTTCCAAAGAAAGCGCTCTAATTGTGATATGATGGTGTAGTGTGGGAGTGGATCAAGGGTCGATAAGGGGATGACACCAGGGCAAACAGCTCTGATGTTGTTAACCTTGTGTATCTCTCTGACCTCCGTGACCCCCCCTCCTCTCACAGATTACAGCCGGCATGAGCGCTCTCTCCGCGGGCCTCACTGCTCATGATGCCGCCTCTCCTGGGCCTCCTGACGGGGAGAGAACAGCGCCTATTTCTATTTGTTTCTTTTTGCTGTGCTGAGGGTAATTCTTAATGCCTTCTAGAGATTATACGGTAACTCCCAAACTCCCATGATTATAATTAAGCCTGACTTGGTTATAAAATGAGCAAATAGCTCTTTAGCAGTGCGCCGTGTGAGGGAGCGCAGTGGAGGACAGAGCATCTCCGCATGTCTCTCTGTAGAGCGCATTGTGCGCATGGAGGAGAAAAATAGTGGTGCAATGGAAACGCATATTTGCAGGGCTCAGTTAGGCACCAAGACGGCTATCATCTTCCTCCTGGCAAAAAGAGAAAAAGAAAGGAAAAAAGGCACAAACATTGGCTCCGTTCTGAGCCCGTGATGAGTGTGTGTTGCTCTCTCTCTGAGCTCCTCTTCTGTATCACTTACAAAGGCAGCGCTGCCTCCAAAACGAGGCCACGTACGGAAGGTATGCAAATGAAATCATGGCTCGTGGATTAGAATGGGACACCATATACCCTAAATCATGATTGTCAATCATAGCTGCGGATTAAAGGATATGGGCTCACAGAGCTAAAAAAGCAACATTCTCCCTCAGGCTCTTCCCCACAGTGAGACGCTCAGAGGAGGGAAGCTGCTCTGGAGCGCCAGTGCCCCCTCGTGGAGGACCCGCGCACTGCACCACTATCAGACAGCTCCAGCGCGCACACATACACGCTGGCACACGCAGGCCTGTTCGTTTACATGGAGCGTGGCCCGAGGCGAAAGCTTGATTAGACAAATGCACATGCTTTGGTGATGCACTGTTTCATCTGGAGTGGAGGGGAGAGACCTCAGAGTCTGTGCCATGTGCACGTCAGCGGGAAGCGCACAGGGCCACGGGCTGTACAGCGACAGATGTAGGTTTGCCCTGTGCGCTCCTTCTGCATCACAATCAATTAGTGCTTTAATAAGTGTGTGTGATGTGAACATGGACCCCCGCACAGGCCGTTTCATCTGCTTTTGGACTGCGTAACAGGCGCGCGTTCGTCACACAGAGCCTACTTTATTTGACTTATCACATCAGATGGCACGGACAAACTGACACTTATAAACGTGCTTGTGTCACTTGTAAACGTGCCTGTATATTTGTTTTTTGTTTTATTTTATTTACTTACCTCATATTGTCCATCCTATCAATGCATTGCATTGGTTTAGTATATGTAGTAATAATCTGAATTTCTTTATAACCAATATTCTACACGTTGTGGGCCGGAGTCTGTGTGTAAAGGCCACAGCGAGTCCCCTGGCTTTGCAGACTGCAGATGCCCACAAGTAGAGCGGTCTTAAGCTGAATTCACGCTCTCATTTGAGTCATTTCCAATCATCTTGTTGTTTGGAGTGTTGCATATTTGCGTCTCACAGACATGTTTGGTGTGTGCAGACCCGGAGCCCTCAGCTAGAGTGCCAGTCTGTTCCTGTGGAGCTGCAGCATGAGCCACCAGCCAAAAGAGAGCCAAGCAGAGAGGAGAGGAGTGTGAGGCTGGGGCACAGGGCCAGCGCGGAGCAGTGCAAACGCTCCTCCACGCCTCACAATTAATACTGCTTCTAAAGGAGACATGGCACGACGCAGAGAGGCACAAACAAGAGCACACTGTTACATTTGCACTCTGAAAGGGCCGCCACATATGCTCAGGCTGAACGTGGCCCAGCGGAGGACGCGGAGCTGGCAGCCCTCACATCCTGCGGCTCTCAAGGTGGCCCCGTCACCTGTGCGGGGGTTTTGGACAGACCGCGTCTTCTGGGCACCGGGTCAGAGCGCGGGCAACATCTGCACCAGCCCCAGAGCTCCATGGCTGAGGGCCCAAGACCAGAGCCCCCCATGTGCCTAAGTTGTCAAAGGGACTCTTATATTCAACACCGTGAGATAGACATGCATTCATCTGTTTCATAAATACATGGTGTTTGTCCTGTTTGTCTGTGTTATACAGACAGAGTATTGTTTGAGTAACTATTAATGAATAAATCAGACCACGCCATCTTCCTCTCATCAGTCAGATTTTACATACTTAGAGCTGATTGGCTGAGTGAGGGCTGGTAATCTTTTTGAGTTGATCTAAGATGTGAATGAGAAACTGGAGGTGATGATCCAGGACAGTCAACATTTACTCATGGACATTGGTCATCTGCTTCTGCACCAATGGCTCTATGTGTTTTCCATTGTTGCATTTCTTGTGTTTGAACTGTTTGATTCTTTGATCTGTGTTGGCAAAATCAACAGTTTTGTAAAATCCTCTGAGAAAACCGCTGTTGTGATTTATAGCTATACAAGAATACATTGAATTGAATTGAATAGACTGAGGTTGGACTGAGATGTTTTGAGAGCTATAGGGACTGGTTGATTTCACACACAAATACAATTTTCTACAAATCTTATACAGCTCACAGATCGTTTCCTCAGATTCATTCAATTCTCTTTATTTACAAAGCATAAAAGTCCATACATTTTTCTATAATTCATATAATTTGTAAGTGCTTTGTGAACTACCTGGAAGATGCATTAGCTTATTAGAGCAGTCCCAAACTTGACCAGATTCACAAGAAACAAGTGGGATTTCTTCAAACCAGAGGGTTCTATAGGTCCTGATGAGGTGCTGGTACCAGGGTAGGAATTGTGCAGCGACAATATACTCATAGTGTCAAATCTATCTATCTAATCTGTCAAATCTAACATTCAATCTTTAGTTTCACTATTATTTACCATATTGTTATTCATGGCGTTTTGAAGGAGAATAGTCCCTTTTCTCTTCTAACTGCTCAAAACCGTATTTAGCAGATATAGAAAAGTAAATAATAATGTTTTAGAGCGAGCAGTTAGTGACAAAAAGTGTTGAAATTATACAAAAGCTGAAGCGAGTTCAGAAAAAGAAATGGCTCCATCATCAAAACACACAATTCTATTAAAACACAACAACAATCTACAACTTTGATTGAACAAAATAAAAGGTTTCAACCAATGATGCACCCCTGCTTAGGTCAGCTGCTCATTCTCAACCAGTAAAGCTCTAATCCCTAACTTTTTAACCTAAGAATAAAACATTTTTCTATGCCAAGATGCCCCAACAGAAAGATTATTGTAGAATGTTAGACTTGCCTCTTTATTATACTAAAGTTAGAGCTTTGATTTGATTGGTTGTTGTTCACTAATCTTATGCTGTGTGCTCCTCTTTCCCAGTGACACTTCCCACTGGGACGAATAAATGGTCTCTTAATTTTAGGTCAGACCCCAACTTTGTCCTATCATAAAACATGTAAAGAAAGAGCCCTGTGAGTCACGACTTGATGATTCGAGTGAGGGCAGTCCTCTCTTTTTCACTTTTCTGTCTGATAAATAAATGGACATGGCACAGGCTCAAAATACGCAGAAATGTAGTGATAGAACCAAACTGTTTGAGAATGAGGAATGGTTCTATGGATTGTAGTAGATTGTAACTTTCGTGGTTTCAAAGTGAGCTTAGGTTCACATCTAGAAGTCCCCGAGCACATGTACATTTGTGGTCTTTTTTCTGTGACTTTTTCTGTTTCTTTATGTAGGAATTATCCTTTATTTTTGAAACGTGAGTAGTTTTGTCTTGGAAGAGCGATTGCCATAAGTTCAAAGTTAAAACATGTACATTACTTACGATTAATAAGTCTGGTGAAAAGCTTAACATATGTTTTGGGGAATTACTCAGATTTCAATTGGTCTGAACAGGAGCATTGAACATTTTTGATTTGATTTGATTTGAACACTTTACTTTGACGAACACATCGCTACTTCCACTCGTTCTCTACTTTGTATGTGTGTTCCCCTCTACTTTGTGTGTGTGTGTGTTCTCCTCTGCTATGTATGTATGTGTGTGTGTTCTCCTCTACTACTGTATGTATATACAGTATGTGTGTGTTCTTCTCTACTATGTATGTATGTGTGTGTGTTCTCCTCTACGATGTGTGCGTGTGTGTGTGTATGTGTGTTCCCCTCTACTTTGTATGTGTGTGTTTGTGTGTGTGTGAGTTCTCCTCTACTATGTATGTGTGTGTGTGTGAGTTCTCAATTACCTGGCTGACTTCCACCCTGCGTCTCCTTGTTGCTCATGCAGCCCACCTGAGCCACCTCCTGATGGTGAGGAAATGGAGCGCACACAACTGGAAGCACGAACACACGCTGAAGAGCACGTCATTATGCATCATTAGGTGAAGACTTAGTTTAAACGTGTTTAGCAGCATTAAGCAAAGCTGTTGTTGACATGGATTGACTGCTGTAATGCTTTATTGTCAGCGCTCCAGGAGGCAGAGGCAGGGCCAGGGCCAGGGCTGGAGTACCACTGCACTCAAAGCATTATGGGATGTTGGAGGACCAACCGGGCATGAAGCTGGAGTGGACAAACAGGGAGCGTCACGTGGTCAGTGGCAAAGAGCGCTCTGTAAGTCTAACAGCGGGTCAGTGACCTCAGTCTGGATTTGGAAATAGAATGTACAGCAAAAACACAATATGCTCCATCCTTCCAAAGCCACCAATAGCATCAGCACAACCTAGATCTGAAACGATTCAATTTTAAAACCGATTTGGTATCATTCATATCTACAGAATTTTTTGTTGTCAAATTTAAACTCAGCCAAAATGTATTTATGTAATTTAGACTCACTACATGCAGAGTGAATGTTACAATATTGATAACAAAAATGGCTGATAGTCCATTTTATAAATATTCAGTAATTGGCTGCGGGCCATAATTATTTTGTTTGTTTGTGAAAGTTAATGAACAGACCTCTAAATCTGTTATTTGAACAGTCCCACAGTCACAAACACTCACTCACCCTGAACTATTGTACTGTACATGTTTTTAGTGATAGGAGAAACCGGAGCACCCAGAGATAACCTACACAGACACGGTGTGAACATGCAACGACCACACAGTAAGTTCAGGACCTTTTTGCTTTGACGCACAAGTGTCATATATTAGTTTCACATTGTAAGCTGAATTTCGAACAATATTCTATTGTCGAAGTTGAATTGCTGAGGTCTGGGCAGAGACGTTCCTAAAAATCAGTATCAAACTTTAAATAAAAGCAATCCACAGTACAGGTGAAACTTGGACAAATACTGTAGAATATGGTTCAAAAGTCCATTTACTTCTCTAATTCAACGCACAATGTGAAACTACGACACGCACTACAGCAAAGTGAGACATTTATGCCTTTATGTTATAATGTTGACATTTGACTCAAAGCTGCAAAAACCCCAATACTGAAAAAGAAAAAACTCTCGCAGACTGCACTTTTCTGCTTTTAAAACCCAAAACTTAAACATTATAGAACATGTGGCCATAATCATCAACATTATAACAAACAGAGGCAACATTTGTAATTCATTTAGAGTTCCAGACTATCACTTTAACACTCAGTACACTGCATGTACTGAGTCGATATCATATTTTACTTTCACATTTGACCGATGCGTGAGAGTGGGAGTGAGTGCTGCGTGTGTCCGGGTGGAACAGTGGCTCACAGTGATGCAGAGGAGAGGACAGTCTTATCCAGCGCACCAGTGTTGACAGCATCACTAATCCCCTCCACCTGCTCAAACAGCCACCTCCAAAAGCAGAGCCCCCTCCCCGTGTGTGCGTGTGCCGGGGGTCCCCAGGGCCTCGCTGTGCTGCTGCCACAGTCTCCGCAGCGGTTATCAAGCCTGGCCCGGCTCCTCTCCCCCTCCTCTCCACCTCCCCTCCACCTCCCCTCCACCAACCGCACACATTAATCGCTGCAAAAACAAATAGTTTTCAAATGTTTGGAATGGGCCCACTGTTTGCATCAGGGCCTAACAAAATAATTTTTACAAGCTATCCAGATGTGATTAGGGCTGAGAGAATTGAATTTATGTGGCATTGATAATATTAATATTAGCCTAATTAATGATGTTGTTTGAACTTGGCCTGCTCTCTGTGTACCTTCTACACAACACTAACCAGCTGAGCTCAGGCGTCTCTATCTGCTCGCTCTTCCCAGTCCCTGACTACAGCACACAATTCATCAACTGGCAGATATCTAATCCCCTCTGGCTCTGCACACTTCCTCCTCAAGTCAAAGAAAGAACTTTACTCTAGTGGCAAGAATTCCCATGAATACTTGATGACTTTCATAGAAAGACAGACTGTTTCATCTCGCTTTCAAAGTGACATTCGCAGTCAGTAACTTTCAATTCAGTGCTCCGTCTCAGAACAGAGGCGCGATGATGGCACCATCTTTGAAATGAGTTGCTAATTGAGGTAAACAGCAGCGCGGCGAGTAGCTGTAAGAAGCGGCGTCTTGACAGTGAGTGTCAGGTTGTGAGCAGAGCCATTAACACATAACTGCGCCGTGTCTTTAATCAGTGAGGTCACATGAGAGCGCTGTGACCCAGAAACAGCATTAGAGCCTGGGGTCACACTCACAGCCTGGGTGCTACAGAGACAGGACCACCCCAATACTCTCTGTGAGGACCTCTGCACCAGCTCAGAGGTCACAGGTCAGAGGTGGTCATGTGACACGGCCCTATACCTCGTGCTCCTCTCTGCACCCTGCCCTCCAGTGCTCCTTGCTACGGCAAGTGGGTCACCCCGTTATAACAAATGACCATATAAGTCTGGCTCCTTCTAACCACAGTTAATTTGACCCGCCGCAGTGATTAAAAAATGCCCTAAATATTTGTTTTCCTCAGCTCTCGGTCGTTTAGACCCTTTTGGATCCTAATTTGGTGTATTTTTCTTCTACTTTCGATCATCTGTGGTGGGTCATTTTGATCCGAGGGTAGCACTTCTTCACTCGGCCCCTCCGCCCCCTGTACGGTCTATAGTATATTTCATACGCAGCCACAGAACGAATCACGTATTTGGCACAATCAAAGTCTTTATATTTGCACAGTATTCAGTGTTATCCATTTGACATATATTTTCTGAAATTCAACCATGAGGACTTGATGCATTAGTATTTAAAAACAATTGAAATAAGAGTCTAAAGACATCAAAGGTAAAATGCACAGATGCCTCTTGCTTGCGTTCCCGGGACAGTTTGTTGCGGGAGGCTTCTCTGCCGCGGAGAGGAGCTTGATGAAGGTGCATGTTGGAGGTCAGAGCGCGCGCTGCCTGTGGACGGAGTGAGGAACGGGGCGGGGGTGGGCGGGCGGTCACTAGCTGAAGTGGCGCCCCAGCCTGGACTGCCGGTAGTCCACGCGCAGCTGCACGAAGGCGTGGAGCAGGTTCCGGTCCAGGTTTGTGAGCTGCTCTCCGGAACACACTTGTTTCAGGTTGTCAGGGGCAACCACCAGGAGGTTACAGAGGGCGTGGAGCGTGTCGAAGAGCTGGAGAACCAACGGGACCTGTCGGGCAGAAGAGAGAGAACGTTTAGTGTTTAGATCCAAAGTTGCATAATTGTTCCTTTATGACTTTAATGAGCCAAGACCATGTATAGAATATCTCCTGTTAAACCATTACAACCACACTGTAGTAAGAAAGTCAACATTATAACTAACATCTACATCTAAACTGGAATGCCTTCTTAATGAATATATGCTAAAATTTTAGATTTTATTAGACATTACATTTCTTTGTGGTTTTGAAAGGAACAGACTTTCTCTCCCCACATGACCAGTCACCGACACCATCCTCCAGTTCATTGTTTTGAGTTTTTATCAATGCTAATGTTTTTAAGTAGCATCTTATATTTAACCAGGTTTGTACAGTGTCCTTGGGTGTTTTGAAAGGCGCTTTTAAATAAAATATATTATTATTATTATAAGCTTTAATTGCAAGCAAACATCTTAAAAAGGATGTACTACCTTGAAACGTTGTAATACCTGTATGTACATATAAGTTTTCTTAAATACCAGCTGCTGTATATAGCTGTATGTATGGAGTCGGACTGTATCGGATTATTATATACAGATATACGGTAACGTTTTCTGAATGTAGTATTGTTGCAGGGTTTAGAGTGGAGCAAACCTGTGTTAAATGTGTAAATGTAAATTGTTTGTATTGTTTTTGTTTTATGTTCATAATGAGATCAAAATCAAATCAGTCTGTTCATAACCAAACAACCCAATGTGCGACAAGTCACCTCTATGAAGATGTTGTCCAGGGGAATCACTTGAGCTTTGTTTTGCTCAAATTTAGACAAAATCCCAGATTCACTGACCTTTCAGGATCTAAACAATTACCCTTTTGGTTCATCCAGCAAAATTAAAATAGTGGTTTATTCCAGCCCTTTATGCAGGGTGTCCCCCCTCTCCCTTTGCCCCCGCTCTCCCCCCGTCTCACCCGGAAGTCCTTGGCGCAGCGTCTGTACTCGGCCACGTCGCAGATGGCGAGCATGCCGCCCATGGAGCTGTAGCTGAACTGCTGCAGGTGCTCGTGGATGAGGCGGTGGAAGCGGACGCCCAGCTCCGTCAGCACCGTGTCCACGTTCTTCCCGTCCATGGACTTCCTCACGTGCTCCACCTGACGCCTCACGTACACACAGACTTTGGAGCAGGCCTGAGGAAACAACCCAGAGACGGATTCAGAACTGAGCTGGTATTTACACTCTATACACGTCATAAAAGAAATGCTATTTTTTCAGAGTACCGTATTTTATGGACTAAAAGGTGCACACTTAAATTGCAACGCCTACTTTTTTACAGGAAAATCAGTTTTGTCCACGTAAAGGCCGCACTTGAATATAAGCCGCAAGTTTTCATGATGGAGTAGCAGGTTGATGATTGGTGAATGATTACTGACATGGAAGCTGTTTAAGCTGATAACACCATCAATCTTTTGACAATAAACGTGTAGCTACTGAACATGAGTATATACAATAAATCCATAAACTCTGCTCTGACAACACCACAATAAAAATACACATATTAGCTATGATGCCATATAAGCTGCAGGGTTCCAATGACAGTAGAGGTCTATAGTCCGGAAATTATGGTACTTCACTAACAACTTTGATTTTGGTAAAGTTGTGGTGGCCCTTTCCACTGTTACTACTACACTATAAATGTTGACAATACTTTTAATAGGTTTTTTTGGGCAAATTTGTTCTGATTTGCAAATTTGTCCCTAGTTTTCAGGAAGAATATATGGACAAAATTCACTCTACCAGCTCAGATTCCTCCAAACTCAAAAAAGATTACTTTGTTGAGTTTTTCACCCTGCCACAACACTGTTCCCCTCATCAATACTTTCACATTTGGAAAAAGCTAAACAAATTTGACTCCTCCCTCTGGTGGCAGACAAGGGAACTACAAGTGGAGAGCATTTTCAACCCTTCGTACTTGCTTCACCATACATTTTCTTCTTAAGATATTATTTCACAATCTAAAACATGAAATGACAAAGTAAATAGTCTCACTATTTGTATTAACCGCCAGAAATAATGCTTAATATTTATTCTTTAAGACCACAGGGCTCATTTCAATATTTGTTTTTAGATGTCTTCCAAATGCCGTCCAATCATAAATCATAAATTATCTCCAGACAGTTGCATTTTACTCTTACCCTCAGCTTGTACTCGAGTAAATGCTCTTAAGCCACCGTTCCCTCCCCATCTCTGGTTATTGACTGAATAATGGCGTCTTACTGCAGTGTATTGGATCATGACGTTGTTCTCGTCTTCAGGCCTGAAATCCGTCTTCTTCTGTTCTGTTGCCAGGATGTGCTTCATCTGCCCCACCATGCAGTTCAGCGTTCTATTTAGAGCAGAGGATATGTTTAGACACCGCTTTCTGTCATTCCAACTTCCTACAGACACACACAAAAAAACCGGGCTCTTGGTTCGATCTACCTGTCGATCCCGTTGTCCAGTTTCACCTCCATCTGTTCGATCACCTCCTTCTTCTTGTGCAGGCACTCGGCCAACTTTGGTGATGAGCTGCGGGGAGATGGATTTTATTTATTTATTTATGACAATGCATCACATACTGTATCACAATAGCATTTCATATAATGTGTCTTGTCACACAAATTAAAAGGAGCAGAAAGAAGAAACACTTAAGAAATCTTATGTTGCCTCCCCCTTTCAGATTCAGATTCAGATTCATTTATTTGCCATTTGCAGTAAAACCACATAGGAAAAACTGTGCAAGACTACCCCGGTGTGCACCACACACACCAGAGCTCTTGCCTTTCTTAAAACATGTACAAATTAAATACAAAATAATTAAAAAAGTATATGGGAGGGTTTTCCCAAATTTTAGGAAAGAACCGCCCTCTCCACCACCAGAATGATTGACAATGGGGAGGACCAATAGTCTTGATGATCCACCCGGAAGTAAAAAATCCTCCTATACAAATATACCTTTAAGATTGACTTTAGCACTTTTTTTGTATCATTCTTTACTTTGTTTATTTTAGTATTGAGGCTACTTTTCAGACATATACACTCTGTGCTAGAGGCTTTAGAAGTACCTTATTAGTGGCATTAGCTGGTCATTGAACTGCTTATCGAACAAGTGAAAGATGGAGTTGGCTTGCTGAACCACATCCAGGAAGTACAAGTTTGCGTTTTTGGCGTCAGCTGATGGGATGGCTGTGCGAAGAAATACATAACACATTTCAAAATCAAGGCAGACGTGAACTCGGAGACACGTGTTAGCGGCTTGGTCACCTACCGGCCAGGCCAATCTCCAGAGCGTAATCTATGTGGTCCACACACAGATGTTCCACTAACAAGAGAAAGATGGAGAAGGCGTGTCGAGACAGGTCTGCAGGGTCTGAGAGCTACAAGGACAGAGCAAAGGGGCTTTCAATGGAACATCAAATGGCTTAAAACAATCCTTAGTTAAATCCAAAACACATAAGTGTGTAAACATTGAAGTTGATAAGCCATCCATCCATCCATCCATTTTCTTCCGCTTTATCCGTTGCCGGGTCGCGGGGGCAGCAGTCTAAGCAGAGACGCCCAGACTTCCCTATCCACACACACTTCCTCCAGCTCGTCCGGGGGGACTCCAAGGCGTTCCCAGGCCAGCTGAGAGACATAGTCCCTCCAGCGTGTCCTGGGTCTTCCGCGGGGCCTCCTCCCGGTGGGACGTGCCCGGAACACCTCCCCAGGGAGGCGTCCAGGAGGCATCCGGAACAGATGCCCGAGCCACCTCAACTGGTTCCTCTCGACGTTGATAAGCCGTTCCGTCTGAAGTTGATAAGCCATGCAATTGTAATTAAATTGTAATGAAAACAAAAAAATCCTCTTTGTGATATTTTTTGTTTAAGCCCCTTTACTTTAAGATTCATCAGTTATTATGTAGTGATTTCATGACACTTTGAAGCAACTGTGGTTAAAGTTCTATCTCATTCTAACATTTGCAGAAGCCAGTACTTTTCCATTGTTTTGGTTTTCTCCAGGTTGAAGCTACAAGCACACTGTGGCAGCTGCTGATTGGAGAACTCCGTTCCTCCCTGATGTATATTACCACTTGCAGTCTGTAAAATCCTTGTTCGTTAGTCTACCATCAACAATAAAACATGTCTTCTGTCTGAATTAAAGACACGATCCCCGACTTTGTCATCTTCTTCAATTATTAGATTGGACAGAAGCTCGCCAATTATTTGTGTCAGTATTGCCTTCTACTGGCGGCAATGAGAATCGAATTCCCATTACAAGCCACTTACACGTTTGTTAACTGATTTAAGAATGCCATGGTTAAAAAAAAAGAAAAAAAAAAAGACAATTTTGAGCGTAAAGAGGCCAAACAGATCTAGAGATGATTAGTTGGGTACATTTTGCAGGATGAAAGGGGAGGAATCAAAATCTGGTTCACTTTAACTGGACCAGGTCTGGTTCACTTTAACTGGACCAGGTCTGGTTCACTTTAACTGGACCAGGTCTGGTTCACTTTAACTGGACCAGGTCTGGTACACTTTAACTGGACCAGGTCTGGTACACTTTAACTGGACCAGGTCTGGTTCACTTTAACTGGACCAGGTATGGTTCACTTGGGGAATTGCAACGACTGACACAAATTCACTTGTTCTACATCCACAAATGAAGCGTTTTTGCCTGAATGGAAGCATAATTGGCCCAGTTAATAAACCAGCCCAAAAAGACACGTCCTAAGACCATAGACTTCTGTAATGGGCTTCATTGAGGTTGGGTGTTAGCAATATTACGTCTTAAGGACAGACTGTATAATGACAATGCTAAGGAAAGTCGGTTAACGCCTCACCCTGTGGCATCTCTCAAACGCATGCCTGGTCTCCTGCAGCAGGTTGACCACCAGCTCTGGGGACAGAAAGGTCTCTCCGTGGGTGTCAATGCTGGGACCCAGGGGCAGATTGGTGCGCTGTCTGATCCTCTCCTTCAGCTCCTGGATACTGTGATGGGACAAGGGCAGAGGTGAGAAAAGACAGAGCCCCCTCCCGTCCCTCAGAGGCAGTCCCCGCGGGCCTCACCTTCCCGTGCCGATGGGCCTCTTCTGGTGGTTCTTGGAGTCGTAGTAGCGCTGCAGGATCATCCCTCCCCGAGTGCGCAGGTAGTCCCTCTCCATGTCCATGTAGCTCTCCAGGTACGAGGAGAAGATGCTCTTGATGAGTTTGGACAGGAACGTGTGCTTGTCAGAGCCCAGGTTGAACTCTGAGAGTTTAGTGGCCAGAGCAGTCGTTCTGTAAAGATAAGATAAGATAAGATAAGATATGATGTGCTTTATTTATCTCAAATAGGAGAAATTTACATGTCACATTTGGCATGGATAGAGACACTCAGATTGTGCAAAAGGAGGAAATGTGCAAACATGTTACATGCAGGATATATGTACAATAAATGTGACAATAATTATGTACAACAAAAGTGACAAGTGTCAAGACAACAATGTTTAAACACAGACATGCCATTGTAAAGAGTTTTGTTTTAAAAAGGCAGAAAACTTCTCCTAGGGCGATGTCATAGTGGTTTAGTGACATCATAGTATTACAGGACAGGAGCTTTCAAAGAGAAATTAGTGTGGATGGATCTAAACACCACTCCAGGTCTATTTTTGATGAGGGAACAATAGATTGTAATCATGAAACAAACAAACAAACATTTGGGCCATTGAGTTGATTTTACTTTGGGCCTGTAGCCCCAGGGGCTACATCAGGCCCTTCGAAGAATCTAATCCGGCTCTCAGCTTATGTTCACGGAAAAAGGGGATCAAACATGAGGCAGTACATTTTCGAATCGAGAACCATAATTTACGGACTTTAAGTCGCTACTTTTTCTAGATCTTTGGACCCTGCTGCTTATACAGCCATGTGGCTAATCTGTGTATTTTTGAGGTGAATGAGTCATGGAAGCTAACGGTTAAGCAGTTAAACACCTCGTCATTAAATCATATTGTGAGTTTTTGTGACCAATTAAAACTGTTGTTTATCTGCTACATTACAACATGAAAACCTGCTTATATTAAAGTGCGTACTATATGTGTAGAAAATTGACTTTCTTTTAAAATGCTTAAAAGTGCACACAAATATGAATTGTATGAAATTGAACAACACTTTAAACATTTAACTCAAAGTGTGTTGTACCAGACTCGAACAGCCAGTCTTCACCTCGCCTCCTAAACATATTATTTTCATTGCAGATCAGCAGGACTCACGTAAATAACCTATCCAAAATGGCCGACACACGACATGAACAGCATATAACTGTCCGTCCTACCGTGTGTACAGGTCGTAGAGGTTCTTGAGGTATTGTTCCACATCGGAGTGCCGCGTGCTGTCCAGTTTCTCTTTTACGTGAGCCTGAGGAGGAGTCCAGAGGTTATAGTAGTAAGTAGTTAGTATAGTAGTAAGTTGGAGCCACATCGCACAGAAGGACAAATGTTTATTCATTCTTTGTAATGTGTGGCACTCTAAGGAAAATCTCAACCAGGGACAGGAGTCAAAAATTAGCATTAGAGACACACTCTGAGTGTATGGCATCAGTTCCATATTTTATGCTGTAACTATGCATGTATTGTACTATTGTCTGTGTCAAATATATAAATAAATAAATAAATACAATGTCGTTAGATTAACCTGTAGTTTGTTCTCAAAGATGTTCTGGATGAGTTTGGCCATGACGGTCTCGGGGCTGCTGAACACCTCGCCCACCTGACTGTTGACCCTCTGACAGAGCGCCGCGGTGTCCTCAAACACGTCGTTCCTCATGTACGCTCCCTGTCGAATCCAATGTGTGGAGTTAAAGCTGGGGGACTGAACTTTTAGACTTTGTAAATAACACATGAAGTTTGTCTAATAGAGAGAGTCCTATGAAAGAAAAATGCTGGGACCCCGGCATTCTGTTTGAATCTAATTAGTAAAATGTGTTATTTAAAACATGAAGAGGCAGCGTTTTAGATTCATGCAGCTAAACTATGGAAGAGTGAAAATGTGAGGCAGGCTTCTACTCTGACAGTGTTCAAGACAGTTCAGTTTGCCCGTGCTTACAATTGAAGGTTTTTATCTTTACTCGGTTTAATACACTGTAGTTATTTTTTTTATCTTAATACCTTGTGTGATTTTAATGTTAATGTTTTTAATGTGTGTGATTTTAATTTTAATGTTTTTAATGTGTGTGATTTATGCTTCATTGATTATGATTTTGCATACTTGTAAGAAAGTACATCCTCATTTGACTTTTTTGGTTGAAAGATTTTTTTTCACATTTCTGTCTGAAAAAGCAGATCTAAAGATGTGACAGAGGCCAAAAATACTAGTGATAAAACCAACTCATTTGAGAGTGACTTGACAGATTAGATTTTATTCCTTAATTAAATTGTTTTTGGGTTTGAAAGTTAGGTTCCCCAGCTTTAAGTGACAGTTGTATATTTATGTTGATTCCCCACTTCCTGAATTCACTCACTTCTTGACATTGCTTGATGTAGACGTCCACACAATGTGCATAACCCTGAAAGACAAAGTTACAATGAGACAAGCTTTTATGTTAAGCAGCTAAATGCCTTTTATCTATCAACAAAGTTACCTTGAAATGTAATAAAACTGCTGCCACTTCCCTCATTCGTCCGATCTCGCCACGGCGCTGGGCTGTTGTGAACTCTTGGATTAACTGTCGCTCCAAGTCGTGATATTTACCTTTTCAATGTAAGATTAAATATATTAAAGACTATGGGACGGAGAATATATATGAAAAAGATACTCACTTGCTATTTTGGCCTTAACATCTGAAAACCTGCCAACAAAATAAAATCAAAATACATAAAATATTATTGAGATGCCAGTTAGAAGTTTAGACGTGTGCTGTGTACAGAAACAGGGCATTGACTGACCGGTCAAACGGCAGCTCCTGGGCGATCAGGTGCAGCTTCTGAATGATGTCTGCCGCCTCCTTGATCTGCACAAGATTAAACTGTTATTCCTCCTCCTCTGACCACTGCACAACACCACAACAACAACACAACACCATACAGGTGCAACAGGACTGGCTTCATGACTGTTAGCTAGGGCTGCCTCGATTTCCGTTGGTTGCAATTTTCAATTAGCAAAATCTGCAATTATTTAGGTTCTTATAGAAAAAAGGGACTAAAGAATGCATGCAGAAAAATCCCTTATATTTGGGAAAATCAAATTTGAATACATTTGTATATGTGTCAATGGAACAAGAATATTTTGTGTCTTGCTGTCAGGTAGAAGCATTATTTTTCATTCCTAATGAGACTTTATTTATGTAAACCAAAACACACACACGCACTTTGATTAATATGTTATTGCTAATACACTTGTTTGCACTATTAGTTTAGAATTTCCCTAAAATTAAGGAAGATTTTCTGAAATGGTAATGGTGTATCACTGCAGGGAAAGAGAGGCAGGAGAGTGGGGTGACAAACACTGCCTCTTGTGGCGTGCTGATGTCACTGCAGCCCTCCTGCCGGCCCTCACCTGGCCACCAGCAGCTACAGCTCTTTAGTGGCATGATTTTTCTGAATGGGCTGTAATCCCACAGGAGTCTAAATCGCCTCCAATAAATCTGTCCGGCCAGGATGTGTGTGAGGGGCCTGCAGACCCCCTCCCCTCGTGCCTCCTGACATACACGCAGAAGAAAGTGGTAGCAAAGGCCCACGTTCACAAGTCCTCTGTTCGCGCAGATGCCTGCCTCAGCTAACATCATTACTGTGCTCCCGTGAGGAGGATCCAGCCTTTCTGCTCGGCGAAGGTTTTCTAAGTATCTGTCCCCCAGCTAAGATTAGCTAAATCCCATGTAAGTAATGTAGCCGTCTCCCTGCAGTCAGGGTTTAGCAGCACTTGTCTCCACGCTGGCGGCCCAGCCCTCCCTTTCAGAAGGATTAGCAAAGCCATACCCCTTCAGCTATTCACTTGCAGCTTTCCTCCTCTCCTCATCTGGAGGTATGCTCAGGAAGTCTGTGGACAGATATTTCAGAAGGCACTCTGGAAAACAGGCTCCATCTCCTGCTCTCGTCTGTGGGATTGACCCCACACTCCCAGCGCAGCCACCGCTAATGATGTGTCTGCTGACAGGACTTAGTGGAAAGCAGGTCCTTCTCTACTGCAACTATACACAACTCTCAGGGTCAGCGTTTATTCATCTCACAAAATTAGATTCATGCAGAGAAAACCCCTCAATGTCCTTTTGAATGCCTTTATCGCATACTTTTGTTGCGCCGCAATAATGCAACACAAAGTTGAGGCCCTTCCGCGTTCCCACTCCTCAACAGCCCACTAGATATAATTAAAGTTGACACGAACATGTTGACATCCATGTTAGTCAATCAGCAAGCTATTGTCACACACTTAATGACAGTTTATTAATCCAAATTAGCCCAGGGATCCAACTAAAGGGATAAACTTGACAAATTAATATGGGTGGTTTGAGTCCTAATCCTGTTCATTCTCACCTCCAGCGCCGTCTCAGCTGGATACTTGTCAGCGCCTACTCTGCATTAGACAACACCTGAGGGCTCTCACCTTGTCTGGGTTATGAAACACATCACTGCGGAGGTCTCCATCCAGGAACTCATTGAAGTAGGTCATAAGCCGCTGTGCCTCCACAGCTCGCTGTCGGGGCGTGTTCACCCCCTCCAGCTGGTCTCCGAGATGGCACACCTTGGTGGCCACATAGCTAATGTGTTCATCCAGCTCCTGGAAGTGCTGAAAGGCCACCTACATCCACACAACAACATACGACAGGGTCAGATGATAATGGTTCACGTGATACACAAATACATAAATACAATATAATACAATCGAACACAGACACACCTGGTTGTTCCTTTGCAGGTCCTGCACTTTGTGAGCAAACTCCTTTGCTTCTCGATGGCACTGATGTTCAAGTTTCTCCACTTTTCGCTGAATTTTCTCATCGAGCTGTTTCAGCTCCTCTATATGGCTCTCAAATTCTTCTAACAGTCTATAAAACATGAGAAACATCAGGTGAAAAGCAGATGAGCAGACGTGGTCTGCTGGAGTCATTTGGAATGGGGGTTATATCTGTCCTACTGACCTCGCATTTATAGTTACTGATTACAGAATAACGCTGCTGCTTAATTCCTGGGCCCTAGACTTAAGAAGCTCTGAGCAGCAGCTTCGTCAGCTGCATTTAAAGTGTCATCAGGACGAAGAGGAAATGTTCCAAGTCAGCAGCACATTTCAGAAGGAAACATCCCAAAACCACAGTGTATAATCTCCTGACTAATTCCCTCACACTGGTTGGAGCTTAAAGACATCTCCCATCCTTCCACTGTGCTGGTGACGCACAGAGTGGTGGCCTCTCTGATATATGGGCTTGGGAGCTTCAGAGGTGCGAGTGGTGGCAACAGTTTTATGAAGGAAACCGATAAGACAGCGTGCTACAGTGCAGTTAAACTGCTATGGCATTTGTGCGATTATGAAAAGTAACTGTTTTCCCCAGCATAAATCATTTCAGCAACAGGCAAGAGCTCAACTCGGAATACTTCACATTTTTATCGGTTAGTAAACATTAGAAAACGAGTTAACTGTGACTCCAAAAGGTTTAAAGAATTAAAATAAATAAATACATAAATAAAATACATATATTTTAAATTGTATTTATATATTATAATATAATATATATTTTAATTAAAATCTAAATGCCATGTACCATGTAATCATTACCATAGCATGCAAAGAGAATAGAGGTAGATATGTTGAGTCTGATGTGATCATGTGACACAGTGCTGGACTGTACCTTTTGGGGTCAAAGGCCTCTGCTCCTCCCTTGGAGCCCCCTCCCGGGGTCCTCCAGGCCAGTCTCTCAATGTACTCATCTGCATCAAAGGGCTCCTGTGGAGACAGGTCACATTGGTCACAAGGATGAGGAGATCCATAATCTACTGAAGTATTCACAGCATTCATACAAAGATCACACCAGGATACTTCTGTAAGCCTGTTATTCTGTTGTGCCACTGAGCAATGCATCTGCTGCTTCCGAACACAACTCACTGAGTACAGTCAGATGCCAGGCGTGAGGCACATCACTGCTTTGACAGCCAGAGGAACAGGTGCACAGAAAACAATGCTCTTGGTCATGTTTAGCTGCTGAGCTAAAGGAGCTAACACAGCTCCGGATGTCCTCACCTCGAACAGCTGAGCAGTGGTCGCCATTGTCCGGAAGAGACTGTCACATGAGCATAGGACTTATCCCGGAGCAGCCCAGCGCACACAGCTCCACATGGGCTGGAGTGTGCGGAGAAGTGCTTTGTTGACACTGATGTTAGCTTTAGCTTTAGCGTTAGCTTTAGAGTTAGCTTTAGCGCTGAGCCTCTTCCTGTGTGAGGGTGGGACAGCTGCTGCACTGCGCACCGCCCTGTCAGAGTCAGCTGACTGCCACGTGACCAAACAGGAAGTCTCTCATTCTGTATTTACGCCACACATCTCATGGATCTATGATATATAACCTGCAAACCTCTATGTTTGATATGATGCTGAAGCTGCAGTGATGAGTATCAGGGCTTTGTGGATCATTTCGCTGGACAAAGCAGAGAATGTGTCTCTCCGCTTCTCAAAGTGAGTAGAGCTAGAGCTGGACGATGATGGTCTGTTCTCTGAGCAAGAAGGAAAGAGGAAACTGGCAATTGCTTCCAATCTGGAATTTTCAGACTTTTTCTTCTCTTTGTCTCTCATGTTTACAATCTTATAGTGTATGTATAATATGTTAAAGCACTGTGGGGAAAGCTGGGGTATTTAAACCAAAAACATGAAACAATGTTATCAAACTAGTTTCTGGGTCTATGAGAGACCGTTTCACCAGTTTTCGCATGCATGTAGTATTGGGCTCTTTCACATCTTTAGATAAGAAAAGGGACCATCATTACTCATCTGGGTGATTCTAATCTCTGCACAAAGTCAAACAGTGACGGGGTCTTTCCTTATAAGTAAGCAAATGGTAAGATGAACATAGCCTCTTTTTGTCAACATTATAATTTTACAGGACTCTTTCTGTTGGAAACAGAAAGAGTACTATACATACTATACACCTAACTGTTTTGTTTCATAAATGCTATACCAGCTTTGAGTATATGATGCCATTGTTTATCTGCTAATTTCCCCCCTCTGTAGTAACCCAAGTTCCTCGCCCCATACTGAGAGTTTCTCCCTTGTTGCGCATCAGAAAGCTCATATCTCGTTCTGGTTCCTTCAGGAGGTTTTCCACTGTGGAGCACCGGGCGAAGCTGCTGGGCGGTAAGGCGTATGCCCCAGTCCCGGATGAGGATGTGGTTCTGCAGCTCCTGATGACCGAGCTGGGACTGTCCGACCCAGAGAAGTCCTACGTGCCTCTACGGGACAACTGCTCCCACTGCCCACGCTCCCCGGCCCTGGAGCTGCATCTGAGCCCACGTGAACGGGACACTCTCTGGCCTGTTCTCACTGTTTCTCAAGGACCTCTCATTCTGTCATGTTTGCCTTTAGTCGATGCCCCCACAAAACCACGCCCACCTCTGTCTAGCCTCCTGTCTGTCTCCAAAGGCCTCACGCTGCTCTCGGGCCTCCAGGCTTTTCTCCTCAGCTCCGGGGGGAAGACTGATCCTGAAGGGCTGGCCTCACGACTGGCTCTCCTGCCCTCAGTGCTGCTGCAGATCTGCCCCCTGGGGACTCCCCTGGATGTTCCCATTCTGGGGTCTCCTGCCACGTCCGCCGCTGTCACACCCGCCGGGAACCAGAAGCAGCCTGCCTGGAAGACAGGCCTGCACCGGGGCAGAGCTGCGGTGACTGTGGCTCTGACTGAGGTGGTGCGGTCCATGCAGTATGGAAACCCCTACAAACAAGACCTGTGGGACGTCTATGGCACAGTCACATGCAAAGTAAGCATTCTTATCCCACATGACATGATGACTAAATCAATACACATGTTAAGTATTGTTTTAAGTGCGTTGTGGATCTTGCAGTTCTCATATCATACAACAGCTCTCATATCTAGTTGAACAATGCTGCAGTGAAGTAAAGAGGCAATGTGAGTTTAATTTCTGTAGCACAGTTCATAAACAAAGCAACTCAAAGTGCCCAACTAAACGAGATGGAAATATTAACACAGCCAATTACAATCATAGATAATCACTTCGGCTAAACAGAACATTGTCAGAGTAGAAGCCTGTCTTACAATTTCAGGAAGACTGAAGATTTCAGCTGCTTAAACCTCAAACGCTGCCTCCCCATGTTTTGTCCTGACTCAGGGCACCAGCAGGAGGCCAGTCCCTGTGCCCCTCTGGTGCGAGGCCATGGAGAAACTTGTAAACATCAGAGCTGCTTTAAAGTCTATTTTCTGAGCCACAAGAAGCCAGTCAGGACTTGAGCTGCAGCATTTTGAATGTACTGCAGCTGTTTTACTGATTGTTTGGAGAGACCTGTGAGGATGCCAATACAGTGGTCAAACCTAATGGAGACAAAAGCATGGATAAGAATCTCCAAATCTGCACTAAACACTATATTATTGATTCTGTCAAAGTTTTCTAGATACTATAACTGTTACTTTCCATCGCTGATTACTTTGAATATAAACTAATTTAGTTCATATGAATAATGTTTGTGTTGTTTGTGCCTGCAGTGTGAAGTGGAGGGTGTTCTCCCTAACGTGACGGTGACCCTGACGCTGCCCCCTAATGGCTCTCCGCTGCAGGACATTCTGGTTCATCCCTGTGTTACCTCTGTAGACTCCAGCATCCTCACAGCCACCAGCGTGGACGGCAGTGACAGCTCTGCCTTCTGGGGGCCCTACAAGTTCCCCTTCTCTCCTCCGCTGGAGCCATTCAGACTGTGCAGCTACACGTCCCAGGCAAGACACCAAACAAATGGGTTGCGTCGATGTTGTAGAATTGTATTTCAGTTGGAGGGCAAGAAGCAATTTTTGAAAGTAATCTTAAAATAGAAACTGTCTAAAGGTTTTCCGAGATCATTATTTTATAGTGATTTAGATTCACAAACTCACCGTAGTATTATCATGTGCAAAAGTCAGAAAAGCAGAGAATAATTAGACCATAGTTGATATATATAAAGAAGATGAGGAACGACAAGACAGATTCAGACGCCCTCGGCCTCAATTTAAAAAGATGGGAATGTTGCGATTCCACTTGAACGCAAGCTATTTATGTTTTCTTGTTTTGATCAGGTCCCAGTGCCTCCTATCCTGGGTTCATATCAGCTGAAGAATGAAGACGACTGTTTACACATATCTGCAACTCTGAAGCTTCATGAGAGCGTAAAGAACAGCTTTGAATACTGTGAAGCGCACCTGCCATTTTTCAACAGGTATCACGTGTTTAGTAATAGGGACTTAGTTTATAGAGAATGCATTAGAGTAAACATGTTAAAGCTGGGGCACATAACTTTCAAACCACAAAAATAGAAACTTTTCCTTCCGAAGGCCACATTGGACTTTCAGCCTGTTCTCGGCCCAGACCTAATTTCCCATGTGTTTTTCTCGGACTTCTCATTTATATATTAAACAGGATTTATCTTGACAGGATTTTAAAGTCATTATACTATATCTATATAAACTGAGGAGGGCTCAGGGGCCAGACTGAAGCGTCCAAAGGTTTGCCCACCACAGCTCTGTTGATCACTGTAATCATAACTCATTTGAATAATCAACCGCTGTATTTACTGAAGTGCTGTGAGATTATTGGACTCAAACAGAGCAGGGATTACAAACTTATAAAACATGAAATACATTAATGTTTTAACTTAATAATACTTCTTTATTCATCAGAATGTCCAGTAGCTTTTCTTGACGGTTTACTGGGTCCAAATAATTGTTAGTTGCAGCTCTATGTGCCATATCATAAAATCTATGTCCCTAGTTCCTCGCTATCGAAACAGTTTGGTTCTATCACTAGTTTTCAGGTTTCCCGCTGTTTCAGACTGATGAGTGAAAAAGAGAGGACCGCCCTGACTCAACCAATCAGCTCTCAGCTCTTAGGCATATAGTGACTCACAGGGCTCTTTCTTTCAAGTATGCAAAAGATAACACATTTTCACACACATGAAGACGGATTTGTTCACAACATTTTACTCACGAGACTCTTTCTGTTGGGACAAACATGTATTATTAATGAAAGAAAAAGTTAGGTACCCCAGCTTTAAAATGTGACTCTATATTGTTGCATTATTTGTGTTGCAGGGACCAGATGAGTGCGGTGGACGTTAGAGTGAGCTATGGACAGTTGGACGTGAATCGGGAGAAGAACCTCCTGGTGTGGATCATAGGTGAAAGAGCACGCCACAAAAACACGTGTCGCATGTGAAGGAAAAAAACAAAATAATGTGAGATATCTGTGTTCATTTTCAGGGCAGAAGTTTTCAAAGTCCAGGGAGATTTCGCTGGAAGGAAAGATCAGCTTTGGGGGGCCGGTGCCTGGGCCCAGAGACCCCATGTGTAGTGGCCTTACATCTTATATTAAGGTGAGTTGGAACATATTAGAGCATTATGGGAAAATTAGATTAAGAGATTTTGTATTTGTCTCACAGTGGGGGAATTTCAGTGTCTTTTGCGATCCCAACTATATTTAAAAGGATTAAAGTCAGTAGTAATAACTAAAGCTGGGGTATCTAACTTAAAAATAATAGATCAATAACATTTAAATCAGTAAATATTCAAACAATGAAATAGAACTAATTTATTAAATCCAGTGAACTAATTTCTCACTCTCAAAACGGTTCAATCACTCGTTTTCACATTCATGTATTTCTGGCCTTTGTCACATCTCGAGATCAGCTTTTTCTGACAGAAAAGTGAAAACGTGAGGACCACCCTCACTCGGCCAATCAGCTCTCAGCCCAAAGAGTCAAATAGTGACTCACAGGGATCTTTATTAATGTGAAATAAAGTGGTTTATTCACAAAATTTTGCTTTATTGAGTCTCTTTCTGTCAGAACAATTTTTTTTTAAATTCATGACGAAAGGGATTTGGCGCAGCCCAGCTTTAAACTTTCACTAATAAAACCAGATTGACAGTTAAATAATGATCACATATCAATGATTCCTAAAACCAGCAGCAAATATATTTATTATTTTATTATATACGATCTTTACTTACATGGAAGGAGACACAAAGGACATTGCTCTTGAAATATCTTGTTGATGCTGATTTTAAACTACAGTTGAACCTGGACAAAAATCACACACAAACAAACATTAGTTCAGACGTTCTACTCGGTTGATGCCCAGGCGTCCTCTGGGCAAAAGTGATTAACGTACAATTATAAACTTCCTTGGTCCAGACTTCCTGGAGCCAAAGGTGAATTAAAATACAACCACCCAAAATGGACGTGTATTTCAGCCACATGGGATTCATTAAAATAACTTTAAAAATAAGTGTTAGACATTATACATTATTGCTGCTGAAAAAAATTACCACTAAAATGGCCCTGTTGGTGTTGATGTTTAATAATTAGTTTGGCTACTTCTCAAATACTTCCATTTTACTACGAATCCAGATCAAATAAAAACATACTCACAATACTCCACATTTTCTTTCACAGCTTTACTTCAAAGTTCCAGATCTCACGCTGTCGGGCTGCAGTGTGGACCAGCACTCAGTCCAGGTTTACTCCACGGCCAAGGCCAAAATATTCACCTGTGAGTACTGCGTTGGTGTACTGCGTTGGTGTACTGCGTTGGTGTACTGCGTTTGTGTACTGCGCTTGTGTACTGCGCTTGTGTACTGCGCTTGTGTACTGCGCTTGTGTACTGCGCTTGTGTACTGCGCTTGTGTACTGCTTGTGTACTGCGCTTGTGTACTGCATTTGTGTACTGCGTTTTGTGTACTGCGTTGGTGTACTGCGTTGGTGTACTGCATTGGTGTACTGCGCTTGTGTACTGCGCTTGTGTACTGCGTTGGTGTACTGCGCTTGTGTACTGCGCTTGTGTACTGCGCTTGTGTACTGCGTTTGTGTACTGCGCTTGTGTACTGCGTTTGTGTACTGCGTTTTGTGTACTGCGCTTGTGTACTGCGTTGGTGTACTGCGCTTGTGTACTGCGCTTGTGTACTGCGTTGGTGTACTGCGTTGGCGTACTGCATTGGTGTACTGCGCTTGTGTACTGCATTTGTGTACTGCGCTTGTGTACTGCGTTTGTGTACTGCGTTTGTGTACTGTGCTTGTGTACTGCGCTTGTGTACTGCGCTTGTGTACTGCGTTTGTGTACTGCGCTTGTGTACTGCGCTTGTGTACTGCGTTTGTGTACTGCGCTTGTGTACTGCGCTTGTGTACTGCGTTTGTGTACTGCGTTTGTGTACTGCGCTTGTGTACTGCGCTTGTGTACTGCGTTCGTGTACTGCGCTTGTGTACTGCGCTTGTGTACTGCGTTTGTGTACTGCGCTTGTGTACTGTGCTTGTGTACTGCGCTTGTGTACTGCGCTTGTGTACTGCGCTTGTGTACTGCGCTTGTGTACTGCGCTTGTGTACTGCGTTTGTGTACTGCGCTTGTGTACTGCGTTTGTGTACTGCGCTTGTGTACTGCGCTTGTGTACTGCGCTTGTGTACTGCGCTTGTGTACTGCGCTTGTGTACTGCGCTTGTGTACTGCGTTTGTGTACTGCGCTTGTGTACTGTGCTTGTGTACTGCGTTTGTGTACTGCGCTTGTGTACTGCGTTTGTGTACTGTGCGTTTGTGTACTGCGCTTGTGTACTGCGCTTGTGTACTGCGCTTGTGTACTGCGTTTGTGTACTGCGCTTGTGTACTGCGCTTGTGTACTGCGTTTGTGTACTGCGCTTGTGTACTGCGTTTGTGTACTGCGTTTTTGTGTACTGCGCTTGTGTACTGCGCTTGTGTACTGCGCTTGTGTACTGCGTTTGTGTACTGCGCTTGTGTACTGCGCTTGTGTACTGCGTTTGTGTACTGCGCTTGTGTACTGCGTTTGTGTACTGCGTTTGTGTACTGCGCTTGTGTACTGCGCTTGTGTACTGCGCTTGTGTACTGCGCTTGTGTACTGGGCTTGTGTACTGCCTTTATAGCAGCAGCAGCAGCAGAAAGGCCAAGGGCATTGAACCTCTGCTCGCAAACTCTGGAACACTCTATCAATTCACCTGCGACAGTTTTCAAATTATATTTTCAAAACGCACCTTTTTAAATTGGCTTTTTCTTTGTAATTCTCCCAATTTTTTTTAATGTATTCTATTCTGTACTTTTAATATTGTGTGTGATGTTTTTAATATATTGTTCGGTGTCCTTGGGTAATATGGCAATATGAAAAAAATATATAATAATAATAATAATAATCAAAACACATTCACCTTTCCTTTTTTTAAAACAGTTTTGAACAGAATCATATTTGATGTTTTTAATGTCTTTGAAAACCCGTTCCAAGAGCAGCTCCACAGACTGAGGCCTAGACACATGATGTGAGAGTGGTTCTACATATTTGCTTCCCCTTAAACCACAATTATGGAGAGTGTCTATAGTGGATTAAATGTAGTAAAATAGATGCAGAGAGTTTCCCTGAACCTTATTTTAGCAGTTTTAAAGTTAATCAAATCGTGCACAATCTAGTTTTTTTAATTCTCTGAACGGTGGATTAGAATTATGTCTGTAGTGGACTTTTGATACAATCATAATGGCTTTTGTTTTTGCAACGTGATAAAAGGATCTAAGTGGGATTTATGTTTGTGTACTAGGTTTGTGTAGTATTGTGTACTTTTCTCAAACACGTTTATTCTTTATCCTGTTATTTTAGCTCGAGAACTTCAATCAAAAGAGTACTTCATTTGGAACTCCACCGGCTCGGCCCCCGTCTCCTCTGGACAGATGATTCTATAACATTCAATTACAATATACAGTTTAATTGTATTATTGAATTCCAAAATGGGGTTCTGTTAAAAAAGATGATAAATATCTAACCAAAGACATTATAGATTTGTTATATTCTAATATAATATTTTGGATTTTCAATGTATTTTTGTTATATTTTAACTTAAATAACAATTCATCTCTAATAAATTAGATATAAGTGCAATAATGTGAAATTACAAAGTGAACAATATATTTCTCATTTTGTATTCGTCTTGACTTCAATTCGCTTCTAAACTCCTAAAAAAACACACACTGATTTAAACTTATGAATAAATTATATCAATACTCTTTTAAGTCACCAAAACCCGATTTCTTGGGTCCAGTCCTCTCTTCCCACATCCCCCTTTCGTTTACCCCCGCACGGACACAAGGACCACCCCTCGCTCCGACAGCTCCACTCCACTGACCCTCCATCAGACGCATAATTAGCAGCTGGGGCCCCTGTCGTCAGCTGCTGTGCTCCGGAGCCCGCTGAATGGAGCCGCCTGGACTCCACCGCGGCCACAAAAGGCTCTTCTCTCTGGGCTTAGTGGCACTGTTCCCCCCCCACCACCCTCTACCCACCGCCCCCCCTGTCCCTTCCCAGACCTTGTCAACTAGTTAAAAGACAGGGCCCTCCAGCAGACTGATTGGCCACTGACCCCTGGGAACTTGAAAGGAGCGACGTCTATTCAGCTGCCAGCGCTCGGCTAATTGGTCAGAAGTCACAAGGGCGTGAATGGCGGGTCGGCTCTTGAAGTGCCGTTGCAGGTGCCTTGTACTTATTTGTACGTCTCGAGTGTAAGACGTGGCACTGATTTTCACTTGTTCTGTGCGAGAGTGTGGAGTCTGACCTGCGTGTTTTGGGTTTTGTTCTTTTATATCTGTGTTGCTACTGTTCTGACCATAAATTTTACATATTCTCTTGGTTTAAGAAAAAGGGTTCATGAGCACGTGCGCTGACATGCTTGCAATCTTAACTCCTAGTCGGTGGTGGCGTACCCGGAAACAGAATTATCTAATGCCACCTTCTTTTCTCTCAAAAACCGCTCCAGATGCGTGTCAATGCTGAGGGGAGTATTTTCTTTTGGACCAGCCTAGTTCAGCCGCTGTGGACTTTTGAATGCACTTGTGAATGAATGCACTCCCCACACAAAAAAATATACCGTCCCAACAGAAAGTTCTATTACAACACATGTATTCTTTGGCATACTTGTGAGAAAGAGCCCTGTGAGTCACTCTTTGATGCTTTGGGCTGAGATCGGATTAGCTGAGTAAGGGTCCTCTTTTCTTTCATGTGTCAAGGTTTTCAATGTGTCAAATATGTTTTTCTAATAATGTATCATCTTGGTATGGTATGGAAATCATACCAGAATTCAAAGCCTGGATGAATGGGGATGGATGGGAATTAATCAATAACTAGCCACACCACGGAATGTACCATAGATTCGATAACTTCATAGGAAAAATCAAATGCTATTGTGTAAAAAACAGTAGTGGTTTATCAAGTTAAGGGCAACACCAATGAATCGTCTGCAGTTGTTAATATATTCAGTGTTTTCAAATAAGACGAGTACAGCATGTTGTGGCCTGATTTGTTCCAAAACATTTGAGGAAAAGGGACAAAAGATGCAGAGGTCTGGGATTGTGTCCAGCAGAAGACATTCTTTATTGATGATCGATTCTACACAAACAAAGATTTTTAGTCTATAGGGCTTTAAACAAGATTTAGTCGACCTTCAGATAAACATGAAGGCACTCTGTCATGAGGCCGATTTTTGTCTCCAGGTCAAAAGCTGCACACCTAGTCCTGAGTTAGACCTGTTTCAGTCCTGGTTCAGGCTTGGTTGGTTCTATAGATACATATTTTTTTTTTTTCTATCCTGGTTCAGAGATCAGCATACTGTTAGAATGACAAGCTTAGGTTTGACCAAAATAGCTTCAAAAGTGTCATAAAAGACCCAATCATTATACTCTGAGAAAACTTTCTGTTGGAACAAAGTGTATTATTAATGAAAGAAAAGGTAGATACTGCAGTACTTTTTTACAAAACGTATTGATCTATAATTATCTTGTGTAAATTAAACGTGTCCTTATTTTCTGTGAATGGTTCTACCGCCTTTGCTTGCTGTTCATGCCAAACCGGTACAATTGGCAACATTTTCTAAACAACAAATATATGGTGAACAAATCAGATCACTGTAAGATGAGTGCTACACATGTCTGCATGAGTGAATAAAAATACAAATAAAAAGGAATTTAACAGGAAAAAACACAGACTGAAAGTGCAGTAGTGTTTTGAAGTCTCTGTTTGGTCCAGTTCTGCATCAAACAGGTCCTGGATAAAAAAACTGAAATAGTTCATTAGTGTCTTAATCCAGGAAAGAGCCCTGGGAGTCACTATTTGACATTGTGGGCTGAGAGCTGATTGGCTGAGTGAGGGCGGTCCATTCTTTTCACTTTTCTGTCTGAAAAAGATGATCCCAAGATGCACACATGTGAAAAGTAGGGATGAAATCAAACTGTTCCGAGAGCGAGTAAGATACATTTGATCACATAGTTTTTCGTTTAGTTTGAAAGTCAGGTACCCCAGCTTTAAAAAAAACCCTCTTCTCACCACGCAGCAGTCTCCGGTCAGAGCTTTCATTGTGCACACATTCTCACGTGGATTTCTCTCTGAAGCCGGACCGTGACCGATCCTCTGTCAATCGGAACCAATTGCTCACATGACGTCCTTTACCTTCTGCTCTCGAGACGTCTACCTTTTGTGAGTGTGAGGCCAACTGGAAAATACCCTCCTCCTCTGCAGTGACCCTGTCTGTGGTCAGTCTGCAGCCGCTCAGGTAAAGAATGTAGGGTCTTGTTTCCGATCCAATACAATCCACTTTGTATTTATTTATATAGCACTTTTTTTATACAAGTTTCTAAAGTGCTGCACCAAGTTTCAACGAAAGTCAACAAAAGAAAACTTATTGCATTACCTCTGACTGACCAGACTGTACCCATGTTTGTACAGTGGTCATACCTGCATCTGAAACCAAATCCCGTTAGACCTTTGAAGCTAAGCAGGGCAGGGCCTGGGTAGTTCTGCGATGGGGCCGCAGTGAAACGGCTGAGGCTGTAAAGTGTCAAACTCAGGTAAGACACTTCACCCACATTGTCTAGAATGAGTCTGGTGTGTGTGTGAATGGTTGGTGGTGGTCGGAGGGGCTGATGGCACATACTGGTTGCCTCGCTTCTGTCAGTGTGTCCCGGGGCAGCTGTGGCTACAATAATCGTTTATCACCACCGTGTATGGGGAACCCAAAATCCAGCTTTTGGTGAAATTCAAACATTATTTTACTCCTTTTTGTTCAGGATCTACCTAAAAATATATATATATATTTTTTTTTTAAGTAATTTGTTTGGTTAAAATACTTTGAGATGAAGAGATCCATTATTTGTCCCACAGCGGGGAACTTTCAGTGTTGCATCACAAGTTACAGAACAGTAGGAAAGAGGAGCACACAGCACAAGTGAGCAATAACAAAAACTCAATACTAAAATAAAATGCAATCTCTGACTTTAGCCTAATAAAGAACCAAGTCAAATATGTAGAAAATGTTTTTTATATAATTTATATATTTATTAATGGAAAGTTTGCTTGAAGCTTTTAGTTTGGTCCCCGAGTGAAATAGTTTGGGCGCCCTTGTTCTACACTCTTTCTATCTGTAGTGTGGTGTGAGCGTCCATGTTTGCTTTATGGATGTGATTTTCTATGAATATTTAGAATCATAATCAGCACTTCATTATGTCTATAAGTGGACACAGCAGCTGATCCCACTCCGGGCCCTTTATGATGGAAGAGCATGAACACAGACCCATATCTCTGGATTCTTGTTTGTTGTTTTGAATTTAAAAACTATTTGGAGTTTCAGTCTCAATGACAAAAGACCCATTGATCTGTGTCTACATTCGGAATCGATTCGCTGAAACAAGATCCAAAATAAAAATGCTTGTAGAGGTCAAAATTATGATTTTGATCCCAATGTAAATAACTGAATATGAACTAAAACAAGAAATCTTTTGTAATAATTTTGCATATTTTTTAATGTTATTTATTATGTCTATTTTTTAGATTTGGACTGTGCTATATAAACGTGCCTCGCGATTTGAGAACATTTTCAAACAAAATATTTTTCCTGATTCAAGCAAATGAAGGAAAAATGGCAACATAAAATTGTAATTTTGATTGCAACTACAGTGTGTTCTTGCATCTCTGAATTCTGTTACTAAATACATTCGTTGTATTTTTTATCATGGGGAGAACTTCCAGTGGCGTAATGATGAATGATGTACAGTGGGGCAATCAGCTTAGAATGATGTCTGGAAAGTTACTGGCATCTCTGGTCAAACAACACCGGGCCTACTGTGAAGCATGGGGGTGGAAACATCAAGATTTTGGGCTGTTTTTCTTCAAAGAGACCAGTAAGATTGATCCGTGTCATGGAAAGAATAAATGGGGCCATGTATCGTGAGAGTTTTATTGAGAACACCGAAGATACAGATCTGCGCGGAGAAAGAGGCAAAAATACATACTGGTGCTTTTCCACTATCATACGCAAATACATTCTTTAAAAAAATCAGTTATGTGATTTATTTGGATCTTTTTCTCATTTTGTCTCTCAAAGTTGAGGTATAACTATGATGAAAATTACAGACATCTCGATTTTTTTAAGTGGGAGGACTGAAGAACAATACATTTGTTCTATAATGCTTCTCACACCTCAAACTCAAACTGGATTAAAATTCAATACACAAAATAAATAAGTGAATAATACACCAAATATTATATAAACATGGGGGGTTAAAATCTCACTTTTAAGGACTTGCATGGTGGCTGACTAAATATTTGTTGAGGCATCGGTTTTATTCATTCATTCACTCCATACATGAACGACACCAGTTGCGTCTCGTTTCCAATTTTAGCTTTGCCCATCAGGGGGCACTAGTCGCTCAAATTCCAAGTGAAATCTCAATTCAACAACATTACAGTCTAACCATAACACAGTGGTCTCAAATCTCTGACCTCAAAACAAAGACATATTAATTAAACAGACATATTTACTCTCAAAAACATGTTAAACGTATTCACAAGGAGGACGGCTTCTTCCAACGTCATGGTTCGAGCAGATTATCGTTCATGTTGTAATCCGTGAGTGTCATTTGCCAAAGGAGACATTACATCAATCCCTTGTTTGAGTATCTCAGTTCTGATCCAGATTATTAACCAATGCTTTTACAGGAGCTTAGGTGCGGATCCACAATAGCCTCTGATCCTCTTCTCCCTCCACACCTCACTGTTCCAGGAGGCGGGGTCTTCAGGGGCCTCTGTGGGGGGCTGGGGGGGGGTAACGTAGCGGGGCTGGGTCTCTCTGTCGTTGGGTTCTGAGATGGAAAACAGAATTTGAGTGCATATATTTAAGTGCTATGTCATCTTGTGTGATTTAAAGCTGGGGCAACTAACTTTCAAACCACAAATGTGTCAAACTATTTGACAAATTCTAATCTTCTGAGTTCCTTGCGGTCAAAACAGTTTGGTTCTCGCACTAGTTTTCACATGCTGCGGGCATCAGGTTGTTTTCAGACAGAAAAGTGAAAAAAGGGAAACGCCCTCGATCGTCCAATCAGCTCTTTCATGGCTCTTTCTTCATAAAATCATAAAATGTCTGTTCGGTACAAACATGCGTGGCTGAGTGGATAGCACTCTCCCTTCTCAGCAAAAAGGTCCTGGGTTTGAATCCCGGTCAGAACGGGAGTTCGCATGCTCTCCCCCTGTCTGCGTAGATTTCCTCTGGATGCTGGTTCTCTCTATCCACTTAAAACATGTACAAAAGGTAAAATCCTAATATCTGGAGATGGGTCCCCGGGTGCTAGACTACGGAGGCCACTGCTCCTGACCGACGCCCTAGTGACATCAGAATGGGTCAAATGCAGAGGATGAATTACCCTGCGGGGATAAATAAAATGCACCTTTACCTTCATGTAATTTGTTTGAGACAGGGAGCAGCTTCTATTCAAGCCAATCAAAGGAGCTCATGAATAAAAAAGTGTTCAATCCATAGACTGCAGAAGGTTAAGGCTGAGTCAGTGCTGACATCATCATATTAGTTTAGTGTTTCTTTTATTGCTGAAACAGATAATTAAAGCTAACTCCGACAGGCGGCGGAGCAAAGTTTGTTGGTAGCGACGGCCGAGGAACCAAGCACCAATCCAGAGCGGCACAGGTTCTTCCAAAACTAGGAGTTCTACTGTTAAATTATTATTTGTACTGATAAAAACATCAGTTATTGAATACATAAATGCAAAGATACTTCCTGTTACTACACTGTTTGAAGGGACGGATTGCAACTTTTACTTGTGACTCATTATCATGGACAGAAACACAGATTCCACTCCCCTGGCCCAGACACAACATCCAAGGGTCCATGAGACTTCTGATAAAAGAGCATTAGTCTCTTCTATCTTGGGCCTTATACCTCACATTACTCCTCTGCATAAATCAATCTCATCTGAATTATTGATGTTGCATTATGTACTTAAGCTGAATATACAGGTCTGTGAATGGGACGTGTGGAGCCAGCCGGTCCACTCCCATCTGGGCCACATATACTGTAACTCATGTTTACCGTTTTAAGGCGCTCCGAATCCCTCTTTAACCTGCACATGTACAATTCTACCACTTTTACAGCACAAAACAAAAATAATACATATTGTTTTATACTTGTATGAGGCCGTGTACAGGTCCTCTTCTAAAAACGATTCCAAAGTTCCACATCTTCTTTATCAGTGCAAATAAACTATGGTCAAGTGATTTTCTCATAACCGTGACTATAAACCTGATGTTGTCCAGTAAAAAGGAAATAATATGGCAGGTTTGGGAATCTAATCACTATCAAACAATGATCTTTTTTTTCAAAAATGGCTTCTTTCCTGAATAGTTACTTATTACAAGCTCTGTGTCATCTATGAGTTATGAGAAAAGTTGTTACTTACAACTTTATGCATTCTCTTTGCTATAAGCTTTAGATTAATCCAGTGACATTGTTGCTTTCTGGCATTTTACACCAATGCCCTACAGTTGAAAACTAGCCGTGCAGCTAATTTACAATAGTGGTTATTAATGTGTCCTTAATCAAACGTATATGTCTGTTACATAAGTACTAAATTCTTACAGTTGCATGTTTGAAATAAATCTTTAATTTCTGCTGTAATAATTAATGTAAAGAATTAATTTGAATCTTTGTATTGTATATATGTGTAAAATCACATCTATATATTCAAATAAAAAATGGCAATTTACAGAACAGGAAGTAAAACTCGGATGCAGGAAAACAGATAAAACAAAATAAAACAGGAACATAAAATGTCTGGCACCGCAACTACTGTAGATTAAACTCAATTTGCTTCTTTTACCAGAGTAGACGTTGACAGGCCTACATGTACCTGTGCTTTTATTAAAGTACATAAGACTGGTTATTGTTCCACTCCTGCTCACCTGTGTCACCAGCAGCAGCAGCAGCAGCAGCAGCAGCAGCAGCTCTCTCTTGGTCAGTGGAAGTTCTCACCTCAGTCAGATTGCATGTGTCTGGACAGTTAGACCTTTTGGTACATATTAATATGCATTTACATCGTCAACAAAATGGACAATATCAGTCTCTACAAACCTTGTTTTGTTTTGTTGACTGTCGTCCCATCTTTGTGAGTCCAGTTTGTTGTGTCCACTTATCGATGAAACAACTTTATGTTTGGAACCCACTTTCCAAAGTATATGGGAATCTGTAAAACAAAGTCTTCAAAAGCGCTTAAATCCAATAAATAAACTTCTCTCAATCTTTATAATTGACGTTTATGTAGCAGGTTCCCATAGCAACCATCCCCATAGGTTGTGAATGCATGCTCGAAAGATCCTGTTGTGTTCTGCACTCTTGACTAGAAGAGCCCTGAGGGGACAGCCACAGTCTCTGCTTCTGCGTGGGGAGTAACCGTGTGTCTGTGTGGGTGCAGAGGTACTGCCACAAGGACTAACCTGCTTCTGACCAAACATGAACATCACTCACTCTATTGTGTGTCACCTGCTGTGGTCCTGGTGCTTCCTCCATATGCTGTGGAGTACACTGCAGGTTATACGGTAATAACTATGGCATCATAATTACAGCAGTTTGTTTGTGTCCTTCTCTCTGCCCCTCAGCCTCCAGTCTGTTGCCCACCTCATGTAGTTTCTTTATTTCTATGCTAAATGCTGGTTGTAATGTTTGTTTAAACCTGAGCGTCACAGAACCAGACTGCACTGACACAAACCTGTTGTTAGAGCTCACAATATTTGGACTCATTTCCTGTTAAGCACCATGTGGCGACATCAGTGTCATTGTAACAAGTGCCTGCTCCAGCACTGAGCAGTGCAGGAGAAACACGTCTCATGGGCCTGAGACCAGCAGAGGCTTCTATGATGACCAGCAAACATCCATCTGCAGTGACCAGCACACCAAAGCATGGCCTTTGGTGCTGTCATCTTTACTTTCATTTGTCAGATTTCTTTCCTCTGATTAGTCCTTTATAAGAAAAGTGAAAGTGTGTAAAATGTATTCTATCAAAGTATACTAGTTTTAAAATTCTGTTTAAACATTTTATTACAAACCCCATAGAGCCAGTCTGTTACATAGAATACCGTGTCCATCTAAACTACTCTATAACTTTGCATCACTGCTCTTTAAAGAATACTATTAGACTGGGCCAAACTGGCCCTGCATTGTTATATTCACAGAATACAGTCTGCCGAGCAGGTCGGCTCAGTGAGGGCGTGCAAACAAGGTCCAGTGTCCAATAGTCTGAGCGTCAGTCTGTGGTCGTCACAGGACTGTGGTTCTGCTGCTGCTCTCAGACTCCTCTGCTCCTTCTCTTCTCCTGCTCCGGCTCATACCAGAGGGATCGACACCACCCCGTTGGCCCGGCTTCTGCTCCGGCCATTCACACTGGACTCAGTCAGTTCTTCTCCGTGATCCTCAGACTTCTTATCTGCGAGGTTGGACAGGAAGCGCAGTGTGGCCGAGTCCCACTCCTCTGGCAGCAGCAGCAGTAGGAAGCCCAGGCAGATGATGCATGAAGCAGCCAGACGCACCACACTGAAGATCACCTCGTGTTTCAGCACGTCCACGGCTGGAGGACAGAGACAGATACAGAGACAGAGTCAGAGACAGATTCATTACAATAAGTGCGGTAAAGCAGAGCTGACAGAAGGCCGAGGATGAGCGACAAATACGGATTATAACTCTATCCTGTGCACCTCATGTGAGTGTGACCTTCGTGTGCTCCACCTCGGTTAAAGAAGAAGGGTGCAGGCATTTAGAGTCGCCGTAGCAACCTGATCCTCCCTCAGTGAGAGAGAGCAGGGATACCAAGGCACGCTGGTGATTAGGTTTCCTCTGTTGGAGGCGTAGAGCTGCTGTGTAATGACTTTGTTATCAGAGGCCCTAACTGCTGACCAGACTGGACAAACCACACTCTGTGTGTCACCATTTACTCTGCTCAGACATTCAGGGCCTCAATGAGGCCGCTGTGCTTTAGGCTCGTGCCCTGTCCCAGGACCCATACTTGCACCCATACTTTCTCTATTGTAGCTGGGAAAAAAACAGGGCTACATTTGTATGTGTATTGTCCCTTTAACATCTGACAGCTTGGAGTCTTCTGTGGTACTTGTGTATGTTCTTTATCCTCTTCCATGGTAAGGCTGCATTCTTCTTGGTAAAAACCCTCCATTTCCTGTAAATTCCTGGGCTTCCTTTCTTGAACTGCATGTTTTAGAGGAAGCTGACTCAAATCTGAGTCAGTCTATGTTCTCTCCCTCACTTATGGTCATGAGCTTTGGGTAATCACCGAAAGAACGAGATCGCTCATTCAACCTGTACAAATTCACATGGGAGGAGCTCGGAGTAGAGCTGCTGTATTTCTACATTAAGAGTAGTAATACAGCGGTTTAGGTGACTCCGGCTTCTGTTTCAGACGCCTCCTGGACGCCTCCCTGGGGAGGTGTTCCAGGCATATCCCACTGGGAGGAGACCCCAAGGAAGACACAGGACACACTGGAGGGAACTTGACTCTCAGGGCCTGGGGAAAGAGACGGGATTCCCCACAATGAGCTGAAGGAAGTCCATATCTGCTCATATAGATAAAGCAGTGGAAAATGGAATGGAATCTCTAAAATATGTCGAAAACAATCAAAGATCTGGCGAATATGTATGTTTCAAGCACAACTGTAAAAAGTAAAGTTAGTACTAGCTCCAGACTTATCTGTTCTGTAGCAGAGTTCATGTAATATTCACAATAAAAGAAGTGGGAGGAGTTACCTGCATTCCCAGGCACACTGAGCAGGGTCCCGATGGAGATGAGGATGGGGTAAGTGAGCACCACGCCCACATGCACCAGGATGTTAAACACTGCACACAAGGGACCACAGCTCAGCATCACGTATGTTTCACCCACACACGCCCCCCCCCACATGGGACCTCACCGAGCCAGAGTCCGGCCAGTCCACAGAGGTATCCCCAGGGCAGCGAGGACAGAGACCCCCAGTGCTCCACCCGCGTCAGGTAGAGGATAAGAGGCACGCACGAGATGAAGAGCAGGTTAAAAACGCCCATCGTGGAGAGGAAGTGAGCCACCTCGCCCAGGTTTGCACTGCCCAGGAACATCTTAAACAGCACCTACACAACACACACACACACACACACACACACACACAAAATGTACGTTACTTTTACAAAAAATTATTCTGGACTATGGACATTCAACACCATTTATGAATATTTGTCAACATCTATGGACAGTTAGGTACCCCAGCTTTAATGTAGCAGCCAAAGTGAGTTGAAATAATGCAAAGTGTAGCTGGACCTTGTACAGAGCCGATGTGGATGCAGAGCCCACCGCCAAGGCCACGCCCACAAAGGAGTCTCCATGGAAACCGTCAGCATAGGCCATCATGACAATCCCAGTGATGGCCATAATCGCAGCCACAATCTGCAGGTGGAGGCAGCGGAGGTCAGAGCACGAGTGATTTTACAACGTGGACTGTTAATGGTGGGAGGACACTCATTTTAAATAATAAATAATTAATAATCAATAATGATCAACACAGAGAAAGAAGGAGAAATCAACAAGTTTGGCATCATTTGACATGTTTTTGTGCACTTTAATTATTCATGCAACTAAATGAAAGTGTATTCTTGTTACTGAGTTTGTCCAAATATATTTTCTGTTACGCTGAAGGAGTTTTGGTTCCGAGAATGACACAGTTGCTCCGGTGATGTCATCATTTACAATTAGAAAGTTAAATTACGCTATGAACTTAAAGCCACCGGGGTAGTCTTGCAGTTTTTCCAATGTGGTTTTACTGCAAATGGCAAATAAATGAATCTGAATCTGAATCTGAAATTTGGACCAGGTTTAGAAAATCTTAAATCAAACATGGTAACTGTGGTTTGTGAAACGCAAAGTCTAAGAACAGAAATGATCCGGGACATTGGTCATTCGCTCTTTGTGATTTACAGTAGGGCTTAAAAACATTTTTGAATTGAAGTTAATTGAATTTGACTTGTATCGTTTTGACGAGTAAGAAGGACGAGACTAATCATTTAAATGTAGAAACATTTGTTGTTAACGATTAATATTAGTTGATAAAGTTGGCGATAAAGTTGGCGATAATCTGTCGGCGCCTGATAAAGATGCATGTGTATTTGAGTGTGACCGACCCGCACTCCCATGAAGCGGTCCTTGAGCACGATCCAGGACAGCAGGAAGACGAAGGCCTTGTGGCAGCAGTAGAGGGCGGACACGTCGGTGGCGGTGAGCTTCTTGAGGGCCAGTAGGTACAGGTAGTTTGTCAGTGTCCACAGGATGGAGAAGGGGGCGGTCCGCTTCACAAACTGCTTCAGGGTCATGCCGTCCTCTCCGAACAGCTTACTGCACTCTCTACACACGCATCAGGCAGAGGGGACTGTGTCACTTCTACAAACAAGCTATACATCCTCACAAGTCCATTCTGTCTCATCGTTCAGTGCACTTCTGTCCTGGCCTAGATCTGATGTGACTGCATGCATGTGTGTGTGTGCGTGTGTGCGTGCGCGTGTATCTGTGTGGATAGTTTTTGATTGATTTGATTTATTTCAAGCTTCTAAACAGGAATCAATGATAAATGAATTTACAGCAATTACTTATTAAACATGATAGAAACATACATACATTAAAGGGTTTCCTTTAATTTTGGATTAATAATATATGTTTGTTTTTAACTGTTAAAAACACAGATTTGTGTTACATTTTCTGTATGGGCAGCACTTTAAAAATAGAATTTGATTGATTGATTGATTGATCATCCTTCTCCACTGCAGCATCTTCCCCGTGATTCACCAAAGCACTCGTGGAAACTAGATCACTCGACTGCTCCAATTTAATTTGATTGAACAAGATCCTGTGAACTCACACGTTTATGAGGGGAGAAAATCCACTCTGTTTGGCGTGACTGGATCTAACTTGGTAGAGCTAAATACAGCAGAGGGTGCTCTGAGAGATCCCCTCCCTCTATGGTTTAAAGCAGGGGTCTACAACCTTTTTCAATTGGAGAGCTACTTTTCGCATTCGTTATACAATTGTTATCTATAAAATACATTCAGTCAACCATAGAAAACACACATGCATAATATACCATTATACTGTACAGTATCTCTGCATAAATAAGTAAAGATTTATGGGTTAAATTCTTGAATCCTTTGGCGAGCGACCTGAAAGGGCGTGGCGAGCTACTGGTAGCTCCTAAGCCACAGGTTGGAGGTTGGAGGTTTTAAAAGAAGCACTAATCATGGTTAAGGTGCAGCGCACAGGATACACTGCTTTAATTGTCATTGACCATATTTTTTGGCCATATCAGTTTCAGGGTTAACTTATTTTTATCAAGTAACACACGTCATTCCAACGCCAAAAATTCGCCACTGTGTAACTGTTTCAACGCTGCATTTAGATCCAGGTCAAAAAAACACATTTGTTATAGAAAGGCATGATAGCTGTCTCACCCTGACATTGGATTGATAATAATACGTTGATATAATATAATATTACGCAAGGACAGAATTTAAGTAAGTAATCTTTATGTATATAGCGTTCTGCATTTCATAGACCAAAGTCGCCCAACGCACTTTACAATGATTTTGGAAAACAAATATTTTTCCATTCTCTCCAAACGGTGATGACGGAAGCGGGACGCCGAAGACACTGGAGCATCAAAGCCCCCAACCAACAGCATCCATTCACTCACTCATTACATTCATACCTATTGTACATGTTTTTAGTGATAGGGTAAACCGGAGAAACCTACGCAGACACAGGCAGAAGATGCAAATTCAGAAAGGCCGGGAGGTGCATTTGGCAAGGCAGGAATCCACCTCCAGGACCTTCTTACAGTGAAGCTCAAGCTCTAACCGCTAGCCCACCGTGCCGCCCAGAATTTAGGTATATTTCCAAAATGCATGAGTGTGTGTGTGTGTGTGTGTGTGTGTGTGTGTGTGTGTGTGTGTGTGTGTGTGTGTGTGTGTGTGTGTGTGTGTGTGTGTGTGTGTGTGTGTGTGTGTGAGTGTGTGCGTGTGTGTGTGTGTGTGTGTGCGTGTGTGTGAATCCTCAGTCCTCACCTGAACTTCTGGATGGGCGTCTGCTTGTCCCGCGTGGTGAGCACATGCACAGAGTAGTAGATGGGGAAGAAGAGGATGTTCCAGTTGCTGCTGAACCAGGAGATGAAGAAGGGACAGGAGAAGGAGTGGTAGGTGAGCTTTATGACCTGTGTGGTGCCCACCCAGGAGGAGGAGAGGCACAGGACCACCAGCAGGCCCCCCAGCACCTTCAGGAGGGTGCTGGTGCATGTGTGGTACGAGCGGCTGTCCTCACTGGCCTCGCTGCCAGGAGAGTCCGCGTGGGACTCAGAGCCATCCTCTCCTGCGCACACAAGGTAAAGTAAAGTGGAAAATCAGATAACATGAATCAATACAATATCTGGAATAGAGACTAGGCACTCGCTGCAGCTCAAGTCATGACTGGAACCAGGAAGTAGGACCACATTAGTCCAGTTCTCAGGTCTCTGCACTGGCTTCCTGTGGCTCAGAGAATAGACTTTAAAGCTGCTCTGCTTGTGTACAAGTCTCTCCATGGCCTCGCACCAAAATACATTAGTGACATATTAGTGCCAAATGAACCAGCCCGGACTCTGAGGAGCACAGGGACTGGCCTCCTGCTGGGGACCAGAGTCAGAACTAAACATGGGGAGGCTAAATTTCAGCTGACTAATGTTTCTAACAACAAGTGAAAACAAGCGCGATACATGAAATGGTCCACAATCAAAGTTCAAAGTTATCTTTATTATAACTGAATGATTTAATATTCTACTCTTTTTTATGCACTGTGGGATTTTAATTGTATTTATGTAATGTTTATGTAGATTTTAATGATTTATGCTTGATGTGATAGGTTGTAGGCTTTGTGTTTCCTTGTGTAGAAAAGCTCTACAAATAAAAGTTGATTTATTGATTATTGTCGCACTAGGGGAAATTGGTTTTGCAGCTAGCCAACAGACAGACACAGTAAAATTACATTGATGTCACAAAGCTAGTTTTTTGGGGTCATATTTTTAAAACATTAGTAATCCTTTCTGTCTGGGGCCTTTGAGCACATCTGAATATTGCAGATTGATGCTGTTGAGATCAAACTCTCATAAAGACGACCACCCTTTTGCCCCTTCACGTGTTCGTTCCGATAGCTCCTTCCATCTCCCCTAGCAGTACCCATAATGCATCAAGGTCTGTCCTCCGTGCACGGCTCGTTCTCCTCTTGTACATGGAAACCCTACTCCCAGAGCGCGGAGTAAACCTAACCACACGACATTCTGCAGAAGTCAGGCCAACCTTGGACACTCTACAGCGGTGTTCACAGCAGCAGACACACAAAGACACACAGACACACAAAGACACACACAGACCCACACACAGACACAAAAAGATGTATCTGTATTAGTGCTGTCCAAACGCAAATCAATATTAACGGCGTCATTTTTTTTATTGCGCGATAAAAATAAAAAATAAAAAACTTTTTATTGCAGACAAACACATATACAGAAAAAAAAATAGAAACAAAGAAAAGGACTAGTTCAGATACATTGTAGACAGAGATTACAAACAATATGTAGTTGGAGATACAGGGGGCCAAAGAAGAAACCCAGAAGGGCACATAGGAGGGGAGGGGGGACATGAAGTGGGAGATGGGGGGGAGGGGTTAATAAAAAAGGCAATACAAGCAAACAGTATACAGTCATAGATATACCGAAAGTAAACAGAGAAACAGCATAGAGTATTTACATGAACAAATTTACAAAATATTAAAAAAAGCAATTGCACACAGCACGCCTATTCACTTTTTAGTAGTATTAAAATGATAATTCAAGGGACATAAAGAATAGATACAAATGTGTGACTAATTTGCGATTAATCGCGAGTTAACTATGAAATATTTTAATCGTTGGACAGCACTAATCTGTATGTGTACAGACACATACAGATACAGACACACACTGACCCACAGACATACTGTACATAGACACATACAGACACACACACAGAGACACACACTGACACTTGCAGACACATAGAGACACGCAAACACATAAAGACAAAGACACAAATAGACACATACAGACACACAAACACAAACACACACAAACACATACTACTGACACTTGCAGACACATACATACACAGACACCAATAGACGTATAGACACATGCAGGAAAACATAGACACATGCAGACACACACAGACACACACACACTGACACATATGGTCACACACAAGCTGATACACACACACTCATACACACACATTCTGAGACAGACACATATGGACATACACTCACACAAATAGACACAGACACACACTCAGATGCTGCTTCTAAGATAAATGCACCACTGGACTAGACTGATAATCAGCCGAGTGTGTGGGCGTCTGAGAGAAAGAGAAGACGTGGGAGAGAGAGGGAGGACTTTGAGTCGTCAGTGGTCAGTGATTATCTTATATTATTATTATTCTGGTCAACGTGACATACTTATACGTGATTATTTGTATATTTCTTTGTACAAAATTCTTTCCTCATAAAAAACAAACCAAAGTTACGGTTTTGTTGCGTTCATGTAAAATCACAATAGGGCATCTGAAAAATCTTTCCTCGTAACCATGGTAACGGTGTCACAATTCAAGTTGTAGGTGGATTATTTTTCTGCCATTCCTGGAATACAAAATCGTAAAAGTCTTTGTCAGTACATACAAACTAGGATCTAATTGTTTTCTAAAAGTGGTGACAAAATTCAAAACACATGTGCATGATGTTGGCCAGTAGAGAGAGAGGACTGAATAAAATGGCAGATTTGGGAATTTAATCACTATCACATACTGTAATAATCTGGGGAAATTTTTTTTATTATTTTTGCCTCTTTGCTGAGTCTTTTTTGAGTTGTATTTGCACCTGCTCTTCAAATGAAATACAATTCTACATCATGAATGCCACACGGACCATAGTTACTAGGAGCAATTTTAACGCTGCCCTCCACAATTCAACACCAGAACTATGTCACATAAACACAACCTATTGAAGAGATTATGAAAGTCATGGAAGTCATGAAAGGCAGTGCGTCTGCTCAATGTAACTGTTGTGTCCATATCAAATAAAAAAAAAAAAATATATATATATATATAAAAAAAATAAATAAAAACAAATATAATAATAATAAAATAAATAAAATAAATACAATACATACAATAAATAAAATAAATAAAATAAATAAAATAAATAAAATAAATAAAATAAATAAAATAAATAAAATAAATAAAATAAATAAAATAAAATAAATAAAGTGATGGAAGCTGAACCTGTGTTGAGGCGGTGATGGGGAGGAGGAGGCTTTTTACACGAGCTGAGAGCATTAGCTCCACTTTAAGCTCACACACGACACTATTTAAACACAGCAGGTGAGAAGCAGATACTGATTATCAGAACCACAGGCGTGTATAAGTGGGAGAACCGAGGAGGGACAGTGGCCAGTGATTTTCCAGTCAGAACCATCCATATTTAGCCTATATTTTTTCTAATTACATAAAAAAATCCCTGGCACGTTGTCTCTTGAAATATCGCTCAGTGACAGCACAAGTGTTTATGTTTATGCTCTCGTGATGAATGTTTTTTCTGCAATAACTTGTCATCTCCCCTTCCCCTCACAGAACGCTGCTGGAGTTTCTTTCTATCGTTAGAAACACGTCAATCATCTCTAGACAGCTCTGTAGTCTAATATATGGATACTCAAGCATGACTAAAGCTACTTCAAATAATTCAGAATATTGTCCTAAAACACATGAATTGAATTTCAGTGCTTTTATATCTCTACTATAGGCTGGAAGTGGCGTGTGTTTACGTTTCACCTTTATTATTCGACTAGTCAGTGTTCTATTTATTGGTCCTCAATCAGTCACTGCAGCTTTGAAAGGTAGCAATGACAACGGGAGGAAGGAAGGAGTTAGTTTCTTCTCCTCTCTAAAGTCTTATCAATTTACACCAGGCAAGGAACAACATGTGCCAACTCATCACCTCTGCAGCACGAGCACAGATGCTAATGCTATATTGAATGGATAGAAGGTATACATGCGCAAAAAGAGAAAGGGCTTGGGAAAGAAGAGTGATTTTGGAGACATATTGCTGACATGGCATCAATGGGGTGCGGGTAAAATTGGGTGAAATGTGGAAAAGCAGTGATAGGCTGTTGACATTAGTTATAACTAGGGATCCACCGATTGGGAAATTTTGGGCCGATAGCGTTGGCGATATACCGATGTTAAAGAGCGACTAAACACCAAATCAACTTTTTTTAACTCATAAACTGCATAAGTATGTTTATTGTAGTGCTGTCTACATATCCTGGTCATTTTTTTGACATTTTAGTTCAAATTAGATAAAATATCACTTTTGAGCCAAAAAACGTCTGTGTGGCGCCCTCTCAACCTTTTTGGTGGTACTACATTTGAATTTGGTTCTGGCCTCTCCATTGACTCTGAAGTTCTCTATGACATCAGTTGTTTTGTGTGACGTCAGTCTGTCAGAGCCAGTGATGTGAACCCATTCAACTCTCACACACGCCCCAGCTACAGTTTGGAGTATTCTGGCGCCATCTAGTGGATTCAAATTAAATTACATGAGTCATTCTGAGATTATTGAGTGTGATTAGGTTCAGGTGTGTAGCTTTACAATTATCTTAGTGTGTAAACTAGGGTGGAATGAGACTTTCTGGTCTGTAAACTATTGCTTTAAGCAGCAATGACAACTGTCTGTTTTTTTTGTGTGTGACAAGTGAGCTGTCAATCACAGCCTAGACCACGCCCAACTCTAAGCCCCCCTTCTTGTCCCTTGGTCCTCCAGGCAACGCCCTTTTTAGAGAAAAATTTCAAATCTTCATGTGGGCGGAGTAAGGCTGGGCACAGGTGTTTAGTCGCTCTTTAAACATAACAACTTGCCCGATGGCCGAAGTTTGCCCAATGTTTTTTCTTTTTGTTATTTATACATATATAATTCATGGCGGCTTCAGTTTTCCATTTTTCTTCATGCAGTCGCTGTACACGCCTCATGCTTCTCAAATGTCCAGTGAGATTTGTTGTGTTAAATGATTTTCTAGCAGTCCCCCCTCTTCAAATCTCACTGGAACACTTATTGCAAACTGCATAACGCTGATATTTTTCTGATACTGTAAAATATTTCCACACAATCGCCGCAAACTTCTAGGTTTCTTGTACTGAGGAAAGGGCACGGGCGCCCTCTGCCGGTATCTCGTTGCACGCACCAACCATCGGCGACTGTCATTGTTATTTTCCGATGGCCGATGGTAGTTAACAAGGCAAAGATCGGCCGTT